ATAGTTGCCAAATGTCCTAGATCTAAATGTACAGCATGTAATGTCGATCGCTAAAAATCTAGAACGCGCTGAAAATTAGCCCAACGATTTCATGGAAATAAGCTTGGTACGATTGTTTGAACCAGTTCTCTTGATTGACATTGTTTCTTAGAGAAATTTGATGGAGTCAACCATTCTTTGATAGTTGTTCAATAATGAATCAAAAATTCTAGTTAGCTATTCATTCTAATCATTTTCGAAAAATATTTTTGCAAATGTCTCATCACATGGCCAGAAACAGTTTTTCTCACGCGTGCCGATAGTTCACATGACTTGACAGATGTCAGCGAACGTTACTTAGTTCAAGGAACTCAAAGTAAAAATCTAGTTTACATAATAATTGAGACAATCATTAATTATCCATGCACATTTACTCTGCCACGAGGTTGTCTCAAGAATTTTTTACTCAATTTTAACTTTTAATCACATGGAGCAAAGCAAGCTTCACAAGACTGCCTTGTGTGTATGCTAAATTTGTTCCGCATCATTTGAAGCCAGAAACTAAAAAGTTCTTAATACTCGAAATATCGGAACATGGTCTTAACTCCATTTGAAAAATCCTAGGTTCTCCTTGCTTTCTTCTGCGTATACTCTCTGCATCACCATTCATTGACATAACTGTATGTTTTTCATGGCTAAAAATCAAGAAAATATTAGGGCGGTTAAAAAGTAAGTTCGTTTTGGCATGTAAATCATCATACAAAAATTTTTTGTTGTTTTCTATCTATTACTCTTTGGTAGAAGTAGTTTGAAGCTTCCTCTATCACATACCAGATATTTAGGATTTTCTATCATCAGTACAGACAGTTATGCCTCAACATGGCGAAATTTCCAAGCTTAATTCTTTGACTTCCTAAGCTTCGTTTTCATGCTGTAATGAATGTAAAGAACATTTGGTATTTGGATCCAGTGGAGTTTCCCCTATTCACTGAACAACAAAAGAAATGTGATCTGCACTTTGAAAATGTTTCACCAAGAAAAGCAGATTTCCTCATATTTGCGCATTATGAAAAAATTGCAGTTTTTTTTCGTTGAAAGATAAGTTCTACTCAAAGTGATTATATGTTGCAATACCCACTGAAGTGCTCTTTCCAGAGATACTAAAAATTGGAAAAAAATTTGTCTGCAGCATTTGTAAGAGCTGCAAAAGCGACCGAACTTATTTATTAGCCAACCTAATAAAATTTCAGGCATTTGCTAAAGCGGTGCTGGGCTGTTCACACATAGGCAGATCTATAGTATAAACCTTTGTAAGTATCATCATGAATTCTTAGCCTTCTGGGAGCTTCAGTTTTCGAAGAGTAAATTTAGCTCAAAAAACCCGCAAAAAGTCTATGTGGGAAGTCAAAAGTCAAAAATTTTACGAACTCCACTTTGACCCTAAATCTTGAACGTAAAAACATCAATAAACGAAGGTCGACTAGAAAAAACTTCGCAATTTTTGTGTCTTTTCGGCCTCAGAAACGATACCACCTTTGCTTTTTTTTCTCAGAAACGATATCCAGCTTCCTTACAAGCCACCTGTGCCGATCCCTGGAATGAGTATTTTTCGATTTCTGGGTCATAAAGGACTTTTGAAATTCTGGCCTCAAACTTGATGTGGAGCAAATTTGACGCATATACTTGAAAGTCTTCTTATAAAGCTTTGCTCTATCAAGCGATATGCTGAGATCTATATATTATCAAGAACAACATGACTTATTACGGCTAAAATCTGAAATTGAAAAAATTATAAGAGAACCTGATAGTCCCCTTACCAAAAAGCGTCTCTTTTGAGTAATCCAGGCAGATACCAGCATGTTTCGTGTCCGAAAGCCAGTCATCCGCTCAAGGTGCTTCGCAGTGAAACTGTCACTTTTAGTCCTTTGTGCTCCTGCCGTCGTCATTGAATTTCCACCTGCTCTTTTTTACTATAGCACATTCTCAACTCTATAAGATACTCTACAACCTAAGCATTCCATTTCAGAGACGATATCTTTCCACAACTTTTCTGTGATTGCACGCGCTAAGAACATAATGCAGATTCAATTTTTAGTCTTTGTCCTGGGCACATTACCATCACCTTCTTCTTAGTATTATCATTGACACAGATTACATTGCAGCTGTTATTCACCGATTCTGACAATCCGTAATCTAACCTATGAGCTGACAAATCTACGAGGAAAAAATCATATTGTCTATGCAAGAGTTTCGCATAAAGTTGACCATGGAGCACATATCTTCGAATCCTATGTAACTCGTTGTAATCAAACTTATTTTCCAATACGAATTCTCGGAATTTTTACGTTGCCGCCAACGCAAGAAGACGCGGAAAGTCATATTAAACCTCATCAAATCTACTACACTCAATCTTCCGTGCCCTTAAATTTCAAGTGGAAAAATGCTGTGAGCATTAGGGATCCTGTTTGTCTCTTATAGCCAGAATTATGTCATAAATTAATGTTGGAGCAGTTTTCCCTTGTAACTTTGTAGAAAGGTATTTATCTCGACTGTTTTATCTACTTTCATGATATCAAGTTGGTCCAAAAGTTCGTTCTTTCCTGGAAAATTTTTTGGGACCATGCTAACTTAACTTATTGTTAGAATAAGATAAATAAACGCAATGTTGGATAAGCAAAGTGTATCTTTACTGAGATTGGACGTTCCCATTTGATCAACTCGCTCTAACAGTGGGTATCTGAGGAATTTTTGTCCAGAGGGGAATGAAAATTTCTCTCGAATGCTCTTCAAAAAGATTTCTGGGAATCTCTTTGAAACTTCTGCGGTCGTATAGCCTCCCAATAAAGGTTTCTGACAAAGAAATCCGATCTCCAAAAAGTCAAAGATTATTCGCTTTATCGAAAGGAGACAAGTTGTTTTTCTGCCTCATGTACTTGCCTACCTCATATTTACTTATTGATCACTATAGAAAGCGAAGCAAACTAAAATAGCAGCATATTTGGGCAACAATAAATTAAATAAGTAATGAGACTGTAGGTTGAAAACATAGCAAAAACGTTTTTTTCCTGATTTTTGTGTTATATAATCTCATTACTAAAATTCAACGATGACGTCGACTAGACAACAAACAAACTGAGTCATCAGCAAAGATCACTGCGACGCGTTATCTCCTTGACAACAACAACAAAGTTCGAATCAAATACACAATCAAAACCTTACGAAAGCTTCATCAGTTCCGGTCATGTCGGGTGTTATCAGTTTTCCGCCAACTTTTGTCCGCTCCACTACAATTATCTTTCATTCCTGAAACGTATCTTTCGGCTTCTAGGCAAATCTGCTCTCGAACAGGAGTTTTTTTTTGGGGGGGGGGTTGAAAAAATTTCTGGTATGATTCACCTTCTGTCAAAACAATCCCTATCATGTCCTTCAATCGCATACCATTAACAGGGCTTGCTGATTATTTGTGAGTCATAAACAATAACAAGTACATATCAAAGCAAAGTTTTTTGAACAAAAACGATTTCTGCTGGAATTTTCGAAATATTTCGATATTCACTCGTCGTCAAGGACCATGTGCTCAAAATTGAGAAAAGTAAACTTATGCCCAGGAAAAAAGTTGGTGCTGATGGTTTTACTGGCACTGGGTCAAGCTGGGCGGTTTTGGGACAAAAGTAAAGGGGAAATTGTTTTTGTGGCTGAAAAGACACAAAAATTGTGACGTTGTTTTGAGCCGATGTTTCGTTTTTTTGAGGATTTATTTACGTTTAGGGTTTGGGGTCAAAGATAATTTTGTACGAAATTTTCAGGGTCAAAGGGGACTTCGTTTTGAAATTTTCCTGGTGCCAACTCCTGCTAAGCCCTGATCAAAACATAGGCATAACAGTGCCTTTTGGCAGAATATATGAACGAGAACCGGTCCTCAGGGCAGAAGGTTGCTTACTTTCTGATTGCCTTCATAAATCCATCAATAAAGAAAATGAATTATAGAATATCCTTTGATCAAACTCGATTGGCGGCTGAAAGGCGGGACTTCGTGACTTACTTAAGCTAGGGACTGATCAGAGAGCACGAGCGCGAGAGAGACGCAAACTGCGTCGCGAGGGCGAGCGGCCATAATTAGGTCACAAAGTCCCGCCTTCCAGCCGCCAATCGAAGTCAAGTCAAGTCGAACCAATACCTTGGTGAATTTCACTTGCCTAATGCGAAATAGACGGAGAACGCCAAACTGTTTTTTCTGTTAAGCAAAATGGCAGAAAAATTTGTTTGCTGTTCTTCTCGCGGCAAAAACAAAACTTATACTCTGGCAGTCATTTTTTTTATTTGAGGAGTGTCTTCAGGTTTTTCCTTTGTCATTTGCCGCGTCAAATAAATTAATTGCGGCTCGCAAAAAATGCCTGATAGTCCTGATGAATACTCCAGCTAATCGTAAATTTGTGATTGTAGTGCAAATTATTGCCCTCGCTGGATGACTGTGACTGAGTTCTAGTAAAGCTTTTTATTTATCTTTTTTAGGAACTTTTTTGGGTCTGTCATTTGCTTCGTTTCATGAAGGTCTGGTGACTAACAAATTGAAAACTTTTTTCTAAGAAATGATAATCGTCATTGACCACTCGTACCTTCTCTTTAGTATGAACTAATAGAAATGCAATATTCAGAAAACTCATGACAGTTAGAAAAAGCCGAAAAATTGGACGTTTGCAATCTAGCATTCTTTTTATTTCTCTTCAATTCGTCCTATCGCTACCGAAGCAAAAATATATCTAAGATTGATGGATTGATTGAGTCTGATGACCCTCTATATGTTATTCATAAATTTTATATAATGCATAAATGTACTAGTGCAATTACGACGCTGTCAACTGAAACATTGCAAACACGCCTCGATTTTCAACCTTGCTGCAATCATCCTTAAATAGAAGAAACTCATTAAACTTGAAGTCATATTTTCCCAATTTTTTGTAAGGTTTTTTCCTGTTCACAGGATCTCATGTGAGTGTTGGAAATGGAAAGTATTTGTTTCAGTGAAGCATTGATATTCAATGCCAGAAAATCGTCTATATATTACTTATTCCAACCCAAACGGTGTATTCTGTCCGGGTTCAAATGTCGAAGGAATCGTACATCTTGATCTCAAGGAAAAAATCAAGGTTTGTCCCGTATGGCGTCAACTTGTTTTCTTCTAAAATAATGTTGTAGTTCCTTTACGGGAATAACACTAAGGCTAAGTGCTTGAGAATAAGTACGCGTATTTTCTGTACTTTAGGCTAAGTCACTTCGAATTACGGTAGATGGACGAGCGTATACGCATTGGTCAGCAACCCACTCCAGGAAGATACTGTAAGTTTTTTCGTTCTGCTTCATGCGAATGTTTTCTCTGATTTTTAAAAGTGGATCTCAAAATCTACAGCAATCTCCTATCATTTTCATCCCTTTTACTCCATTTCATTTAGTTTTGAGTCCATAAGTTGAACTTTTACAATCTCCTCTTTCTATTTTCAGGAACAAAGATGGGTGAGTTCCATGGCTACTTTATCATTTTTCTCTGTTTGGTGTCTGGTGAGTTTGCACCGTTTCTCAAGTATAAGTGTAAGTTCGCTTCATACAAGGTACGAAACCCTTTTTGATCTAGTTTCTTCAAAAATCGAAGATCTCCTCTCGAGAAGTAAAAGGATACCAACTTCTATCTTGACGGAAAACCAAACAAATCCTACCCTTTGGTTCAACGAGATTGGCGGCTGGAAAGCACCGCTGCACCCGCGACGCAGTCTGCGTCTCTCTCGCGAACGTGCTCTCCGATTATTCTCTAGTTTTGGGTCACGAAGCCCCGCCCTCCAGCCGCCAATCCAGTTGAATCAAAGGGTAGAAGCAAAGTGCAAAGGAATACTTCTTGTGTAGTATCATAATGCATGCATGATTTTTTGTTCCAGATCTACTCGTATGGAAAACTATAGCGTACCATATAGTGCTACAGTAATCTATGTTACCGGTGATTCACTGGCTTGGGCATCGCCTCAAGGCAAAAAAGAGGTAGGGTTCTCTTACCTCCCTATGGGTTCGGTCAAATAAGGTGCCAAACAGGGTCAACCGTGTTGATGCGATCCGGGACCCCCATTTACTACCCCCCCCCCTTGAAGGTACCCATCCGTACGACCCCCCCCCCCCTCCCCATTTAACCCCTTACCTCCCTTGCCCACATTCCTCGCGGCAACCTGCATAAACGAATGTCAATCTCAAAAAACATCAGCGTGGAACTTCAGTGAGGTTTCGGAAGCAGAATTTCTAAGCCAATAGGTGCACCCAGCATGTGTAGCGCACATACACACCTTCAGTAGTGTTTGAGACTCTGCAAGTTTTTTTTTTGAATTTTCAGGCATACTTCAGGCCAGCTAATTCGGTTCCCGTAGGCAACACAAATTTTTGCACGGAGACAAAAAAATGACATTCTTGAATTACAAAAGATGTTTTCGACTAAAAAGCTTACTTCCTACCTCTTCCACATTTTTTCCCGCGAAAAAAACTGCTTGAGCGCCGTCCAGAACGATGTCAAAAACGTGCATGAGCACGGTAGTTTGAAAATTCGTAACTAAGGCCAGGAAAAGACTGAGAGGCTGCAAAACGCACGTTCTGTACTACAGTGCCCAGACTATTCATAGAAAAAGTTTCAGCTTTTGAGGAGCAGTAAGCTCGAAAAAATTTAGATGCGACTTTCGCAAATTTAGATGCGATCCTAAAAAGCAAAAACTGGGATTTTTAAGCTCAAAATTTTGTAACTCATCGGAGAAGCCATGAAACGTCCTGAAATTTGATAGAAAGTAGCAGGATGGCCTCCTATTACGGCAAAATTGCCGCCAACAAGCTTCAATAGCTCCGAAAAAATTTAGATGCGACCCAGATACGACCCCCCTTTTGTCATTTTTTGCCACCATACATAAAATCATAAGAAAATCCGAAGGCCATAAAGTGGGACCAAATTTTGCACAAGTGTAGTAGAGCACCTTTTAAGTACACATAAGTTGTAAGGACCGTATGAAAAGCATTACAAACAGATTTACAAATTATTGATAATTAGCGTTGATAGAGATATGCGCTTTTGTCGAGCGTGCGAGTCTTCAGTGAGCCTTCGGAAGCAGGATGTCTACATCAATCGGTACATCCAACATCTTTATCACACATACATGTTTTTAGTAGCATTTGAGCTTCTAAAAGTGTTTATTTTTTAATTTTAGTCATGTCAGCAGGGTTCGATCCCCGTTTGCGACAATATTTTGCGGAAGAAATAGTGAATCCCATGAAATTGAACCAAGTCATAATCTTTCAAAAGTGCAGCAAATGAAGCGAGTTTCTACGTTTGCAAGTGTTTTCAAATTATTGTTCACGTTATTTGATACATTGGACACGACATTCCATGAATTTATTGTTAAGAACATGTAATAATTATTTACCATCCGATTTCCTTCCATGCTTACGGTTTTCCAATCCAAACTACTACCTCCTTTTACGACCCCCCCCCCCTCAACGTAAGTACCCGCTTACGACCCCCCGTTGCGACAGTCGCATCACACGCTTGACCCTGGTGCCAAATACTCACATTGCTAGGAAAGCATTGTAGTGAGTTGGTATGGAATATCTGCATGAACAGGGGCCTTTTTTTTAAAGGACATGGGAGGGGGGGGGGAGAGGTCAAAACGATTTTTGGGAAAGTTGTGGCACCTATCAATCCCTCGTTTTATCAAGCACAGAAATATTTCGGGGGATGAACACCCGCTTCAAGATGTAAGTAGCTATAAAAAGCTATTTATCATAAAGTACATAATTTATCACCCAAACAAAAATTTGGACCTTGATCTCCCATTTTCTTCTTCCCAAAAAAATCCCTTTGCGAGCTCGATTTTTGTCGTGTGCTGTGTACTTAAACCATCCCACACTTTTTTCATTGATTTAGCAAATGTCCATATTCAGGTTTTGCGTTCAGGCTCCTACCAATTCCCTTTTGTATTCACTCTACCGCTTACCTGCGCTCCTAGCTTTGAAGGTAAGGCCTTCAACAAAATACCGAAGTTCGACTGTGCTTATCAAAACATTCAGGACTCTATGGATACATTCGATATATGGTAAAAGTAGAACTCGATCGACCGTGGCGGTTCAACAAATGTGACCAGAAACCATTCACAGGTAACAAGCAATTCTATTCAAACCCAGACTCAAAAAAATCGATAATCTTAGAGGGTTTCTTAAGAAAAAAAAAAGGATTGTAAAAGTACATACATTATAAGTATCGATGATCAATTTATTTTTTAGTGGTTCCAATTTTTGATCTCAACACTAATCCAACAGCTCGATTACCCGTGAGAGAAGTCAAAGTCAAAAACTTAGGAATTATTCTATTCAGAAGTGGTAAAGTTACGATACAGGTATGCTCTCTACAACTGCCACTCAATATGGTTAGAAATAATGAATTCTAGTGTGAAATGGCTAAGTCGGGTTTCGTTCCTGGTGAAACGATAGTAATCAACGCCACTATTGATAACGATAGTTCGAGTACGATAACGAAGGTATGATGTTCTTGATGTTCATTCATACTTTCACAGTAGTAAGGAGAAAGCTTTGAAACTGTTACCGTAATCCTACAGTAATGAGGAGAAACGCGTAGTGATTCTTTGCGTACTGCAGATCTATGTTGAAGCCAGCCCTGAAACATGTCATATGAAAAATCGGAAAAGCTATCCAGACAAGAGAATTACTAGCGGTCAAACATCTAATGCATATTTTTGAGAAACATACTTTCATCCGTTTCGCGATAGGTGCAGTTGCACACTTCTAAATCGTAGCCTTTATGATCTATATCATTAAACCATTGACGACGACGCCTAAATTTTGCGTGGCGGCGCTGAGAGACGACGCGATTTTGCACAACACTTTCGGCTTGGGAAAGTTTTGTGATTATTTACGGAATGTAAAGTGTTTTGTAAACAACTACGATCATATTCCTGGACGACAAAGTCTACAGGTTCCGATAGTGAAAAAAATTGGAAAAATTACTGAGCTGTGGTAAAAGTACTAGACCTAGAATGTATATGATTTTGCAAAGGGGTGTGCGCCCACCGGTGGTCCACATCGTCCTTGGCGGAAAAAAATGCGTGGGCCACCCGTGGTACACATCGTCGTCAATGGATTAATTAGTTGTGGTTGAGTTCGAAGTATGAAGCATCGCATCCTATCTCTTTCGTGGAAAGGTAGGAGAAACGCGCAAGGGATTGGGTGGGTCTCCCAAAGATTCATAAGTTGGTGCTTGGGAGATGTCGAGGTGGCGAAATGCTAAAGAATAAGAGGAAAAAATTACTGTTATAAACTCGAGCATACTCCTTCCTTCCTATACACTGACTGATGACACTTGGTACATGAATTTTGAATTACTCCTTTGGCTGTTTGGATTGTTGGGTCGATCGCGCCTTCTTCATCCATAAAGAGCTCGGTAGAACTCATTCGTTAAACATTAAACACGCATCATGGGCTTCGCTTTTTCATGGATTTTATAAATTTGCAGCCTTTATAAAATCTCAATCAGAAGAATGCTCGCTGTTGAATCGGATTTTGCAGGCGCATGTCAAACTGGTGGAGTATTCGAGATATGTTGCCTACGAACAGGGAAATATTATTCGTCAGGGTATCTTCATAAACGCGTGTGGACACAATTATCGTGAACTGAGGAGGAAATTAGCAACGGGTCATCAGGTGAGTAATAGGAGGTGGATATAGTTATATAATATTTTACAATGATCGGCCTGTCTTCTGTATTTGAATCATCATGTCTTGTAACTCCCAGCGGTAGAGTAGACTGAAGCCCATGCGGAGCCCTGTAGCGTACAACGTGGTCATCTGAACGCCTTTGTTTCTTTTCCTTGCCCTGCTCCTCATCCGTTTTGTTCGTTCTACGAATACATAGCGGGGATGGAAGTGTAGCTACTCTCTTATACGTCTTCTCTTTCCTAGTCACTAAACAGATTGGGAGCAACTTCAAAACCTGAAAATTGATTTGTTTTGTCTACTTTTTAAGATATATTGATTACGATATCGGATTAGAGTTTCCTCTGAGTTTCCCATACGATGGAAGTATGATTTTCAAATTATACTCCCAGCACATCCATAGAAAAAGAGGAAAACTTGCTACTGTGCATCAGGGTTAAAGTTACATTGAGGTTACACATGCAGACACCGAAGCCTTATAAGCACCCTTTTAACAACCATGTTATAAACATCATGAACAAAGCTTTCAAATCTGCAGGGAACATAAGATTAAAACATTGTAAGAGTGAAGAAAAGAGAAAGAGGAGTGAAATAGAAAAAGTTTGCAGGTCGATAAATTTGCAGCTACAGAGTTCCCACTCGCAGCAGTGTACTTTAGAGCTGAAAAAATCCAGAACCCCATGCTTACGTGGGGACGAAGTCGTAATTTCGCATCTTTTACAATTTCAAATGTCTTATGTTCTTTTCCATCAAACAGCTCGATATGAAATTAAGATGCATCCAATACATTTCCATGCAGGTCTTCACATTGGGAGCATATGCATTTTCTGTACCGTAAATTTCTTCAAAGTCGAGGTTCTCACCGTCATAAAAGTTGTGCCAGAGAACAAAATTTTTCTGCTCTAAAAACAGATTAACCACAGAGATAGCTGCCTAGACTTAACCAGCGAGACCACAGTTTCCAAGCTGGCTCTTCACTCCATGAGCATCTGCATTTTCTGTGGCGTGAATTGCTTTGAATTCGAGGTTTTCACCAATTTTAATGAAAGTGTTTGAAAGAACAAAACTTTTTGCTCCAAAATTGATCAGTAAGATAGCTTACCCAAGCTCAATCAGCCGGACCAGAGTTTCGATGCTGGCTCTTCACTCCATGAGTATGCATTTTTTGGGGCGTGATTTGCTTTGAAATCGAGGACTTCACCGATTTTCATGAAAGTTGTGAGGAAGAACAATTTTTCCCTTCAAAAACAGATTAACCTAGAGATAGCCTATCAAGCTCAATCAGCGAGAGCACAGCTTCCATGCTGGAACTTCATTTCGGGAGCTCTGCATTTTTTGTGTCGTAAATTCCTTCGAAATCGAGGTTCTCACCGGTTTCTTGAAAATTGTGGGAGAGGACGAATTTTTTTGCTCCAAAAGGATTGCCAGAGGCCTTCTATACTACAGAAGCCTCAAGCTGGCCATTCGTTGCCGCATTCGGAGACTTTCTAGCATGATGCGGAACCATAGGCAGGCAGGGCAGTGGCGGCTCTATTTGTTTCAGTACCATGTTATCGTTCTTCTTAACCTACACCAGTTTCTCTATCTTGTCGATACAAAGCAATGGCAAAAGCTCTTCAGCTGAAACAGGGTGAAGGACGGAGCACTTTTTGATGTGGCAGACGGGAATGCCAATTTGAACGAATTACAGAAGTTGCATGAAGTCCTTTACTCTTGATCTGAACCTGAGAAATTAGCGTAAAGGATTAATTTGGAGGAACAGTTATTCAAAGTCAGCCTGAGGAAGGAACCTCGATAAACATTATATTATAAACTGAAAAACTGCAAGACTCACTTCGATAAGCCCATATGCATTCTCCGCCGCTCTCTTAAAATTTTCAACACGGCTTTGGAGAAAAGTGCAATTCATGCAAGTCGACGCTCACGAGATACGAACAACTGACAATTGAGACAAAGAGGAAATAGCGAGGAAAGCTGTTGTTAAGAACAACGAGGAACTTGAATTCTGTGGTTGTTTTCAAAAGGTCGAGATTTCGAAATCTTCAATTTGATGCACTATGAGAGCGAAGGTCTTGCCAAACTTTGAACAGAGGGCGGCTGATAGCTCTTAGAGGCAGTGTCCCGGCAGGTTTTGCATTTTCATCTTTCTGCATGTTTTGGGCCTTTTCGACCCGTAGATTCCGAATTTGATTTGAAACGGGTGAAAACACCCTTTTCGGGGAATTTACCCAATTTCAAAGGACAGCTCGGACGAGAATTCCAATGGAAAGTTGGGAGGCTCTGGCACGAAGACCCTGCTGCCTGTAATTTCTGCTTTGGATAGCATGCCAATGCGAGAGAGCGATCTTGGGGTCCCATGCTGAACGGTAAACGAAGTCGTCCGAGCACGCGCCGGTCCAAGGGCTATTTTCTCGGCCCAGCGTGAACATCAACCAGCCGGACTGCGCCTGGAGGTCAATGGGATGACCGGGAACCCCACCATAGCAATATACTCCAGGGCGCAAATCTGCCGGAACAATACCTTTAAGATCTCCCGATTGCCGGCCGACATAAGCTCGGTCTAAAATGATGACTCGCCCGTCGGCCTCTTGTCGCTTGGGCGTCGGCTGAGAGTGCCTGAGTTGGGAAATTTCCTCTTGAAGTGGAACTTGCTCAGAGTATAAAAAGAAAATATCGACAACTAGCTGGCTTACCCGGCTCCGCCGTATGTTCCGAATAGAAAATTCCATTTCTCAAGATCCGAACCAAACTTTGCGCACATACACTTCGGGCCCCGGCGGGTGTCACAGTCCACTTTTCGTTATCGATTGATGTCGATTTTATCGATTTTTTGCAAAATTTGAGCTAGGGGGCTGGGATTTGGCACAGGGGGGTAATCGAGCATGCTGATTACGAATACAATATTAGTTTTCGAAACCGTGCATTACTTTTATCGATTTTATCGATTTTTTTGCAAAATTTGAGCTAGGGGGCTGGAATTTGGCAGGGGGTGTAATCGAGCATGCACGTGCTGATCATCCCCACGGGGGTGATCAGCATGCTCGATTACCCCCCCCCCTGTGCCAAATCCCAGCCCCGTAGCTCAAATTTTGCAAAAAATCGATAAAATCGATATCGATCGATGACGAAAAGTAGCCTATGACACCCGCCGGGGCCCGTAGTGTATGTGTGCCAAGTTTGGTCCGGATCGGTTCAGAAATGGAATTTTCTATTCGGAACATACGTACAGACAGACAGACAGACATACATACAGACAGACATACAGACAGACAAACAGACATTCAGCTTTATATATAAGATCTATAAGAAAAGCTCAGTTATATCAGGGGCGGAAGGGATGGTATTTTTGAGCAGGTCTTGAGTTCTGGCCTAATCTCTTTGAGAGATTTCAGCATCAACGATAAACCACAGTACTTGAAGAACAGCATGGGCGGACGGCTCAAGATTGGGTCATCCAACATCTGCCCCTGCCCATAGGCCCATTTTTGAATGATTTCATTATAACTCGTTATTGTGAAAGACAATCGCCTCCTCTGCACGTTTGAATATGCTACTGAATAATCATGTTCAGTTCAACTGTATTACAGGCTCGGTAGAATTCCACAACGCTTTCAGAGATTAGAGAAAAGTCGTAGTCTATGCTTTAATTTAGAAACTCTGCATTAACAAGAAAAGCAAATCTGTCGCTCAAATATACCTTCAAGTACCACCTACAGTGCCATCCTTCAATATGTGCCCAATTATTAGCGTTGAATATTATCTTGAGGTAGGTTTTTAAGCCTTTCATTAGTTAATAGGTGGACTAAGTGTTTTCAGGTCAAATTTGAAACTAGTGGAGCCCTCAATAGTGGTATCGAAAGTACTTACCCAATCGTCTTGGGTACAGTACCAGTGCAAGCACAAACTGTCGTCGTCACACAACCGACTGCCCCTCCTTTCATGGAATTTCCATCTTCATCTGCCGTTAGTCCCGCCATTCCATCCGCTCCTCCCATGGAGAGTCCTCCGCCATATATGAACAGTAATAATGGCGAAATAGGTAATCGGGATCTAATCTGATTTGTAAGTTTTTTCCATTCCGCTTAAGTGTATTTTTAGCCTTCCAACCGCCTCCACCCAGCTACGAAGAATGCATCCAAGGCGTTCAGGGTACCACAATGGATACGGAAAATATCGAAGTACGGTTTTGTTTCCAATGACTCTCAAAAGCATTCCACATTTCCAGCCGTTCGCACCGAGATATCCCTTCTACCCTTCGCTCACCAACACGTCTTCCAATCTTACTTCGGAGAAGAACGGAGTTTTAGGCTATAAAGTTTGATCTACGAGTACCTTCTGCGGCTTCTTATGTACAAACGTACAAATGTGCAATAAATATGTATTTATGTCTTCGTGAACACTGCTATCATGCTATAAAGGGGGAGGGGATGGAATGCTTAGACGACTGGTTATCTTTATCGCTGGTATCAGTTGTTCAGAAGTTTCTGAAGTAATGAGCAAGAACAAGCACGGAAGTCTAATGCCCATATGCACATACATCCCGCTGGGAAGGCACCTACAAGCTGAGGTTTTCATTGTTCGTGAGATTCTCTGGCGAATCTCTAGGGGATCAACCCTTATTTTCAAAGTCGCCTTTTTCCAGGTAGTCGTTGAAAACGTCGTAAAGCTGGAGGGATATGCTATGACACTATGCCAGGCATGTTTTTGACAAAACAAATTGATTGTGCAAGTTGTGCGTTTTTTTGATGAACCTCAGCTAGCAACGGTCAAGTATTCACAAAAAAATGTTCTTCTGTGAAGTTTGTGATAATCTCAAAGTGGCTTTCCAATGACCGTTTACGGATTTGAAATATCAAATCTCGAACTTTCCGAGTACAGCCTGGAATGCGTATAGAAACAAGATTATGTTGATTTTCTCACCAAGGAACTCATCTGGAACAAAAAGCGCTTGTTAGAGAAAGGTGAAAAAGTTGCATCGAATGACACCCGATTGCTCGCCAATTGTTGTTGTATGAGCTTTGAGATGACCAAACATGGGATTTGATATCTTCACAGAAATTACTTTGAAAAGCTTTCAAAAGAAAGCTATGCAAGAAAAAGAAGTGCTTTATGTATTAAAGGGTTTGCACTTTCTATATGTCACTTGTACCAAGGCTCAGCAGAGGTGGCGCTTTCACAGGCTGGATGTCGTTTTCTTGAGAGAAAAACAAAAGGGAACGCGAAAAGGGGTGGCTCCCGGAAATTTGATAAAATGTTAGCACACAAAGCTAACCTTAGTAGGCTTTAATCCAACTCCGACATCGTTTTATAAGCAATATGCAGCTTAACACGTTAAAAACATGACAAGTGCTGAGACCCGTGTGCAGAAGATTTCAACGTGTTAAAACACAATCTTTATGCATAAAAGAATAAATAATCAGTCCGTTTTCAACCGGTAAGCAATATTGAGCCACCAAATTTAGTGTGTATCTCCGCGGCGACGATTAGAAGGAAAGTATGAAAAATTATGAAAAAATCACGTGAATGAAAGGAGCTGTAAGTGTTTTTCTAATTTAGGTTGCTCCCGCGCAACCTGAGAGCACCCTGAGGTTGCGCGGAAACAAACAAGTCATAATTTTCTCCCTTCTTCACATAATTTTTCAAATTTCTTTACGTAAGTCTATTCTTCAGTTCAAGCTCCATCTACGAATACTTACCTTACCCCAAATTTCGTCTCCTGTGCTTTGCTAGGGCCCTTAAATAATTTGAAAAACCCGCCTTTTTTCACGCGTTGCTGTTTTATCTCCAATTTCCATGTCTATTCTTAACTTCCATTCGCTAATCGTTCGCTGCAGGTTGTCAATCGTACTTTTACAAATATCACAAAAGGTATTTCGTAATCTTCTGCAATGTCAAAGGGAATTTCGTTTTCAAATTTCTCAAATGCCACCTTACGCTGGACCCTGACTTGTACGTCTTCGGAGAGTTAGTTTAAAAATTTAGAAAACTAGCGAAACTTGACCTTGGCAAAAAGCATGGATCTCAGATTTTGGTAGTTTTCTAGAAGCTCTTTCATTGTACTGCAACAAAATCATAACCACTTGATAGAAAATGGAAAGATGTATTGAATAGTACCAAGATTTCCTACAAGTAGTTGTTACTCGAATATGGCAGCCGTTTAAAAAAGCAAAATACTTTGGAACGTTCTAATAATTCACAGTGCAGCGTACCTAGTTATTAACACTTGGGCTGACAAAACATCCGCTTGTTTATCTCTTGAATTCTACCAATCAATAAGGTCGATGGACAAAAACACTTTGACTGGTTCTCGCTGTTCTCTCGATATAAACAACTGTGGGTAACATAGCAACCCCCCAGCAGTAGCCACTGAATTCTTTGTATTTGCTCAATTTTTGCAAAAATGCAGTTCAATTTTCCCCGCATATCTACTTATTATTTTCCTTCCCTTGTCGTCTTCATTTCGGTCGCAAGCTTTTCGATTTCATCAAACCATTTTATCTATTTGACAAAAAAGCAAGACATGTAAGCGTTTTTCACAATATTTACAATTCCAAGTCTTACGAGTGACTCACATTGTATTCTCTCTGCGCTTTTATCTATTCCTCAATTACTTTTGAAAGTTATGCTATCAGAAATAGGATCTGACTCATATTACTAAAGCCGTTAACTGTTTTAAAATTGTCAAGATTAGGGCCTTTGGTTTTCGTTTTTTTTGAAATTCATGCCACCAAAACCTCTTTGTAGTAGACTCCAAGTCGTTGCCTTTCTCAGAAGAGCGAAGTTTGGAGACAAAAGAAGTGCCGGATTATTCATTGTTGAACAATGTCAATGTTTCAACAGAGTTTTTAGTTAGAGGATTTTTCTTTATTTTCCTTATAAAAATAGAACAACGAAAGATGTTTTGACGAAAGTATTTTTCCACAGAAAGAGAAAATTTGGTTATCAGCATCTTCTTACAACAGTAGGGTATCTCATATGTACAGGGTTGGGGGAAAGTCTTTGAACAATTTTTGATGTCATTGTATGTTCGGATTTTCCACATATTCTTGCATGCTAATTAATGTGTTTGCTTCTTATACTCTCGAGTACAAGCCCTCAAAAAACTGGACTATTAGTTTTTTTCCTGTCGGAAATATGCCTTCTGGAATGGAGTGAGCGTTGGTGGAGAAGATGCACGAGGAGAGGATGGCTGACCAGCAAATTGCGCGGGCTCTCCAAATTTTACAGATCAGGGTCTTTTCCACCTTGCGTCGTTTCCAGGATATGAACAGCACCCAGAACTGTTGTAGGAGTGATAAATTGGCTACTGCGGACAGTAACGAAATTCTGAAAATCGTTCGCCAACGCCTTCGTCGAAATCGTCGGCGAAGCTTGATTGAGCTGGCTTCAGAGCTGTCTATCTTTGGCAGGACAGTCTCCGACATCGTAAAAGAGGGCCTTGCGTTGAAGCATTTCAGGATGCTGATATCTCATGCTTTTTGGGAGGGCACGAAGCTGAACTGACTGCGCAGATGCCATCGACTGCTTGAACGTCCCTCCAAGGCACGCCACAGAACGGCACTCTTTTCTGACGGTAAAATATTTACCGTAAAAGAGGTTTCCGATTTCCAAAACACCAGAATCACATCTTAACGCTCTGAGAAGCCATCAGCAGGGATTGACACCCCAAAGGAGAGCCTCATCCGGCTTTTCTGATAGTTTGAGTGGCGATCACTTCCGGCGGCAAGATGCCACTGATCTTAGCGCCTCAGGGCATCAGGGTGAACGCTGCTACATAGTTGGATAGCATTCTGAAGAAGCAACTGATGCCCTAGACCAATATCCATTCTGCAGAGAAAGATTGGTGCTTCCCGCAGGTACCGCACCTGCGCACACAGCGAAGGTTGTTCAAACTTGGCTCCAAAGCAACATCAAGGTGTTAATAACTCCTGCGGAATGGCCTCCGTATTGGCCGGATCTGAATACCCCCGACTACAGCGTATGGTCAGTTCTTTAGGTCAAAGCCTGCGCTCACCCACGCATGACTGTTGTGTCTCTGCGACTTGCTCTTCAGAAGGCGTTGGAAGAAATCGACGTGAAGCACCTCCGTGCCACCATGGACAGCGTTCTTAAGCGTTTCCGGGCTTGTGCTCGCGCCAAAGGAGGAGTCTTCGAATTGTAAAGATAGTTTTGTGTAGCAGACAGTTAAGTGAACATTACCTATTAATTTCATATAATCATCTTGCTTAGCTTCATCAATACGACAAAAATACCGTGTTCAAAGACTTTCCCCCAACCCTGTAGATATCGCATTAGAGAGATAGAGTGAAAAATTTAGGCATCATCAAGATATAGAAAGATATGTTCATATGGGATACAACTAGTTATAGAGATTTAAAAACCTCGCTCCTACTCAGGCAAATCACCGGAACTTCCGCAAGACAAGCCAAATTTGCAGAAGTTCCGCAGGATTTTGTTCACTATTGCAAAAATGAAAACGTTGAAAATCGGGAATTCTGCGGGATTTTCATGCCAAATTGGCTGAAAACCGGAACTTCCGCAGAACCTTCTTCAAAATCCTGCGGAATTTCCAAAAAATGCCAGGGGTTCCGCAGCACTTTGGCCTGCCAGAACTTCCGCAGGACTTTGAATGTGTTGTCTCGTGATGTTGCCTCGCCAACAACTAGATTGCATTATCGAACATGTCAGCCGTAGCGTAGAGGATAGTAGATGGGTCTCACAGTCAATAGAGTGAGGTTCAAATCTCGCTTCGGTGTTCGCTTTTGCTGTTGTGGTCGGCATTCTTCGGAACTTCCGCAGGTGACCCGGCGGAACTTCCGCAAGCGGTTTGCGGAAGTTCCGGTCATTTTTCTGAGTATTTTCACTTTCTTATATGCACTGTAAAGCTACTGATATGCAAGTATCATTTATTCATAGAGAACGGTTTAAGCTAGCAACAATAGGCGTATTTTCCATCAGAGTCATTGTAGTATACAGAAAATTGACACAATATTGTTGAGTGTGGAAGCACCAATCACAGTTTATGCAAGAATATTCTGTCCAAGATACGAATGAGGAAATAGACGCTGCCATTGTGGTGCAGCATTTGTTGTGCAAGCCAGTACAATCTAAAATCAATGCGGATCACATTTGGAGTTACTGATTCAATGTATAAATTTACTACAACAAAAAATCTTCACCTCATCATTGTTTTTGAGAATTAGGTTGTCTGAAATTGTCTGCTTAGGAATGAGCAACAACACCAGAGTATGAGAGAAAACTGGTCAATGTCTTGAGCTGTTAGACTGTTTTATAGGCAAGAATCCATTTTGATCAGTTGTAATGGATTAGATCAGAGGGTGCCATAATGTTGCCTTAATGCAGCGTAATTTGAATTGCAATTTCTTGTCTTAATGTCTTCGTTCCATTTTCACTTAGAATCAACAAAAATATAGATTTGTGCCTCTTGGTATAGCGCTAACATCGAGACAATCCCTTTCATGCAAGCCTTGCTACCATTTGATTCAACTGGCTTGGCTTCGGGAAGGCGGGGCTCCGTGACCTAATTAAGGCTAGCTAGCGATCAGAGAGCACCCGCGCGAGAGAGACGCAGGTGCGTCGCGGGCGCGAGCGGCCTTAATTACTTCACAAAGCCCCGCCTTCCCGAGGCCAAGCCAGTTGAATCAAAGGCTACACAAGCTTTTGAATTTTGGAATTTTTACCTACTTCACAGTTGCGCTATATGTTGCAAGTTTATACCGTAATCCTACAGTAACGAAGAAAGATCGGGAGGTTCCATGCTGTTAATCTAAGTTGAGTTCGCTCTACAGAATGGTACCTCAAGCTGGTGAAAGACATGAAAGCAAGGGAATTATTAACGATTAAAAAGTGTTTACATTTTTTTTGAGACACCCTGTATGTTCGTAAACATCACGCTCACATATTCCCCGTTGTCACCTCCCAGCCCTGTAGCCCAATTTTTGCAAAAAATCTTTAAAGTTAATATCGATCGATAACGAAAAGTAGTGGCACCCGTCCCGCCTCGAAATATATGAGTGCAAAGTTTGGTCGGGATCCGTTTGAAAATGGAATTTTCTAGGAACAAACATACATTCAGATCTATATATAAGATTAACATAAGCAACTCAGACAAATGACCGGAACTTCCGTAGAGCGCTTGGGGAAGTTTCGCCTGGTTACCTGCGGAATTTCCGTGAACGTGCTGCGGAAGTTCCGAAATGAGGTCCTTCGGGAGTTCTGGCAGGCGAAACTGCCGCGGAATTCTGGCATTTTTCGGAATTTCCGCAGGATTTTGAAGAAGGTTCTGCGGAAGTTCCTGTTTTCAACCAGTTTGGCATGAAAATCCCGCGGAAGTTCCGATTTTCAACAATTTCATTTTTGCAATAGTGAACAAAATTCTGCGGAACTTCTGCAAATTTGGCTTGTCCTGCGGAAGTTCCGGTGATTTGTCTGAGATTGCATTAAGAACCTTCTTCGGATTATATTAGTTGAAATGTGTGCTCCTACCTTGTACATAGAGTCTAAGTCTCGAAAGCAGACCGATCTTACCCGTTCTTATAAGCAAATTACATCATATGCTATGTATGTATGTATGTATCTTATCCTACAGGAGCGTGCGGGCCATTTTGACCGAGTGGGCGGGGTTTCCAACGGAGTGGGCGGGACTTGCCGTGAGTGCGACTGGCCAAATGTTGAAGTCTAAGGAGGTTGCGCGGTCATCTAGTGCCTCTTCCATGCACTTCGTGCATGAAAAGAGGCTTCTAGAGAGCTGCGGAGGGGGCGGGGTTTCCAACGGAGGGGGCGGGTCGGCCAAAAGGGATGGTCGACCGCCAGCGAACCTCAATGCACTTTGACCGAACTCAATCGAGCCATTGGGCGCGGCAATACACTATACAGGGTGTCCCAAAAAAATGTATCGAACGTTTGATCGTTAATATCTTTCTTCTAAAGAAGTCTTTTGCCTTGCTTCAGGTACCGTTTTGTAGAGCTGGCTTCAACTTAGATTTGCATTGTAGAAAGAATCACCCATCTCTCTTCATTACTGTAAAATTACGATAGAAACTTGATTCATATGGTGTCAATGTGGAAAAAGCTGCCGTTTCAAAACTTTTCAAAAAATTGTGAAAACTTGTGTAATAGGGTTTTTATAGACGCTGAGTTCAATACTCAACTATTCGCAAGATTACGAAGCTTTCTAAACGGTGTAACCGCACTTTTTGAGAACATTGAAAAAATGGCCGCTACCTCTCACCTGGCATAACTCTTCAATGAAGCATCATAATAAGTTGGGAACTTTACAATTAGAATCAGCAACTCTAATTAGCCTAGTGTAAAAGCTTTCAGGCTGTTTTGTTTCCTTTCTGAGGCAAAATATGGCCTTTCATTGCTTAAAACCCTCTTTGAAGTTTCTACCGTGATTTTACAGTAATGAAGAGAGATGGGTGATTCGTTCTACAATGCAAATCTAAGTTGAAGCCAGCTCTACAGATTGGTACCTAAAGCAAGAGAAGAGACTTCTTTAGAAGAGAGATATTACCGATCAAACGTTCGATACATTTTTTTGGGACACCCTGTATAGAAGGTGATGGGTTCGGGTTGTAGATGCTCTCCTTGTAGACGTCCCTGGCGGCAGGGACCATGTCAGAGTGCAAAAATGGGGTCTTCCCGGCACGGCGGCCGGTATAATTACCCAACTTTTTGAAAAAAAATTTGGGCATAGTTTCTTTTGTATGGAAGTGTTTTTGTTAAAGCAAAAACACTGCACATGATTACATCTTTGTCGTATCCTTTGCATTGAGTAGTTTGACAGAATTTTATCAATAAAGTCTTTCAAGAAGTGCAGATACGTGCAGTTTTGGTTGTTTCCTATATATACGATGGCTTTTAAATAGAATTAGAGATGTGAAACGTATAACGTATAATTCATACCATTTGGGAGTTAAGTCTATCTATTTTTATATATTAGATTGATGCAAAATTAATAAGCGTTTTTTCAGGCTTTTTTCAGGACAAATTTTTCCAAGAAAGTTTCTTCTTGAAACCGATTTAGGATATCGCTAAAAAGCTCTTTTCATGCTCTATTCAAAAATGGTTAATTGGAATTTCTAGCCCAAGCCAAAAATTTACAGAGCTACAGCTGATTGCACTCGGAAAAGGTAATTCACAGCTTTTCCTTTTCTGGCTAGAATTCAAGCGCGAATGGTGGAGCTCTCTCGAAAATTTAGACTGTACATAAAAAAATTTTTCTACATTGTGCCTACTTAACAATATTTTTTGAAGTTATCCATTTGAGATTTCGGCGCCCCAACATGGATAATTATTGTAGTCATTCTATGGTCCATGACTTTCTTTTCAAGAAGGCAATCGCTAGAGCTTTGATTATTTCTGTAAGGCGTAAGGGTAAGGCATCCTGTTGATAGTTTGCAAGAACATCTAGGTATTAACAAACCGAAAATCGGAAAATAATTCCCTAATTTGTTATTTTGAAGCATACTGACGAACTGTTGAAATTCTGAGAATTTTTAATCCTATTTTCTCTTCGCAAATCTTTTTTGCACTTTGTACAACTCCTTCCTATCTTATTTTATACTATTGTTTTGCATCTGCAAGGCAGGCCACTTATCAGTTATAATAACGAGGCTTGAAGGGAGTTATGATTTGCCAAAAACGAGGTTCTAGAATAACCTTTTTTTCTATCCATATTCTATTGCTTGTGGTATGAGTATATTAGTTCAAGATGCCTATATTGCTAAAAGTTTGTTGCTTCTGAGGGTTTTTATCGCATTTGAAAAAATGGCTTCTCTAGGAAGTTATAGCAAGACAAAGTGAGAATTAGCATAACGCTCATTATTTTGCATTAATCTAATAATTTGGCTGTTGAATTGTTGCTCATGTGTGATTTTTGAATTCAGGTAATTATATGGTAAATACTATAGAAAAACGTAATATAACTCTTGATTCAACTGGCTTGGCGGGTATAAGGCGGGACTTTGTGACCTAATTAAGGCCGATCGCGCCCGCGACGCAGTCTGCAGCTCTCCCGCGCTCGTGCTCTCTGGTCAGCCTTAATTAGGTCACGAAGTTCCGCCTTCCAGCGGCCAAGCTAGGTTAATCAAAGGGTAGATCTCTTATTTGTTCCTTTATTAATTACTGAATTTATTGTAATTAGTGAGATTATTGTGGAAAAAATGCTCTGAGGGTCAAGAATAGCCCTTAGAACATTTTCCCTCATCAATCTCAACAATCTCACTATTTTGGAGTATATTCACCACTACTGCTTTAATTTATCCTGAAACATAAGATATTATTAGGTTGAACCGAAAGTTCTGTCGCACCATTTTCAAAAAATCATAACTTCTTTCCCTCACAACGGTTTTGCACAATTCAAATTTTATCTGAAAGAGTAAAGCATGTAGTTTCCAAAAGTTCTCTGAAGACTTTCCAACATGCTCAGATTGCAGAGATAAAAATGAAAGAACGAGATCATCCGAAATTCGGAATTTTTAAGCAAGAATTCTAAAAATTCAGAAAGTGTGCGATAAAATCCAGAAAAGCCATTATCCTAATTTTTCTTACATTTGATTACTATCTGAGTCAAGTGTGCGCTGATCGAGCCCTTTTTTCAAAAGTTATGATTTTTTGAAAAATAATGCCGAAAAATCAATTTCCTAAGAATTCTTAAGAAATGGATTTTTTAACATTTTTTTTCAAAGATTCATAACTTCTCAAAGAAGACCTCGATCTGCACAAACTTGACTCAGATAGTAATCAAATGTGAGAAAAAATAGGATAATGACTTTTCTGGATTTTATCGCACTGTTTCTGAATTTCTAGAATTCTTGCTTAAAAATTCCGAATTTCGGATGATCTCGTTCTTTCATTTTTATCTCTGCCGCCTGAGCACATCGAAAGCTTCCCAGGAAGCTTTTGGAAATTACATGCTTTACGCTTTCAGACAAAATTTGAACTGCGCAAAATCGTTGTGATCGAAAGAAGCTATGATTTTTTGAAAATGGTGCGACAGAACTTTCGGTCCAACCTAATATTAGGACCACTTCGTTCTGAATCATTTTCAAATTTTTTGGTCTTCTCTATAGCGTTTACGGCAGGCGACGAGGCTCGGCCTCGTTCGAGCCGTCCTTTGAAAAATTGCATTGCATGCAGCCGAATAGACCTTTGTTTTTCTGCATTTCTTGGTCATCGTCCTCTAGCCATAAACATTGCCTGGCAGAAATCGATGCGATGGAAAGCGAGTCACCAGCAACAAACCAGAAAAAATACGGGATACATTCTATTTCAGCATTAAACTACTCATCGCTTCTCTTATTCGTTTCATTCTTGACTATAGTTTGATTTCTCGATGGAATGAAAAAAGTTTATGCATCATCCGCTGCCGTAAAAATGCGCACTCTATTCTCTGTTGTCGGAAACGACATTCATTCAAACAATAGATTCCCTTGCTTTTTTGGTCTTTTGTTTCTGATCAGAAAATAGACAATGCCACTTTTATTATTATCCTTCATGCTTTTCTCGATGAATCATTGATAGAAACAAGAGGTTTTTGGAAGGTTTCCTTTTTGCAGTACTTGATAAGATAAAATAAACAGTTCCTATTTCCTGTTTCTTTTCACAAACTGATCCTTCTTGGTGCTGCAGTCTATCATTTTTTCTTTTTCCTCTTTGATTCTTGACTATGGATGGCTTATTTTCGTGGTTCTGACATATTTTCGAAACGTTTCAACTCCGCATGCATATTGACGTATTTTGTGAATAGGCTTACCGGGGGGGGGGGGGGGGGGGGTGGGGGTACGGGTCACATATTTTCCTCAATGGGTTGTAAATTCGTGCAAAAATTGCGCGCTTTGCAAGTTGCAACTGATAATGACTGGAATATTTTGTAAGTCCAACAAATTTGTAAAAACATTATTTATAGCCTGACGCGCTACTTCATTCCAAAAAAACTTCTTGTCGTTTCATCTCCCTTAAAAATTTTTTGGATGTCCACCGACATACGTTCTTGAATAAATAGATAACCTTACGTAAAAGATATGCTTGCTGACACATCAGGTCGTCCTATAAGTAATCTCATTCTTTTTGAATCGATCCCGCAAAACAAATATTAAAAGTAGGCGTATCCAATGCAACTTTTCATCCTCTTTCAAAAATTGTTCTCCCATTCCAGTTTATCCATCGAGCTCCTAGATAATTATCAAAAACTAGACGCATGGTTTTTGTCATCTTAAAGTTTCGCTAATTTTCTGAATTTTTGCCATAGCTAACAGTTGGCTGTCAACTTTCCAAAAGAACTATTTTTTGGTGCTATTAAATTCGTTTCTGGTTAACTCCATATGGAACATTAACCCACAAGCAGCTCACGTGTAAGATGCAGCTTTTTATCTTCTTTCTAACAGATTTTTTGTTTTTATCTCGTGAAGTCTTTGGAGACAAAATCTTTGTAGTCTATATTTCTGAGAACCTGGAAGCTTTAAAATCCGGAGAATTATTGGCATTTGATGAATTTGATAAAAGGTGTTGGTCTTAATAACAATACACAAGGATTATGAAGAGCTATGAAGAAGAGAAAAAAAAATGTTTCATGTTCTGTAGGGTTTACCCTTTCATCACTTAATCTTTGATTTAACCGCTTTGGCGGCTGAAAGGCGGGGCTTTGTGACCTAACTAAGGACGCTTGCGTCCGCGATGCAGTCTGCGTCCCTCCCGCTCCCATGCTTTCTGACCATTATCTAACCTTAATTAGGTCACGAAGCCCCGCTTTTCAGCCGCAAGCCAGTTGAACCAAAGAGCACGTGGATGCTTGACGGGGTCGGTATGAAGATCCACAAAAATAACGAATCTCGACGACGGCAAAAACCACGGTTCAAGGCTCGGATAAACTGAAATGCAAACCACTATTTAAAAGAGGATGAAAAGCTGCATTGATTGTGCCCGCTTTAAGCACCTTTATTCTGCAAGGTGTACCCTCATTTGGAAAAAAAGCAAAACTACTTTCGAAATTATAACCTAATGCATCCCTCAATATTGCTGAAAAATTATGAATAGTCTTTTCTAGCATTTCCATTAATCCTCGATAATCTTTTCCATTTCGCTACTTATTTCGTGCAATTATGATTCGTTACAATTATAGGTAAAATGCCAAGCTCTCTAAATATAGTATTATCACAGCCACACGGTGTCTATCATCCTGGCTGCAGTGTAAGCGGTACAGCTCAGCTTAACCTTGAGGAGCCGATGATGGTATGTTGTCATAGATGGAGATGTTTCAAGTAGCTATAGGAGTAAGCAACGTTTGATTCAACAGGCTTGGCGGCTGGAAGGCGGAGCTTTGTGACCTAGCTAAGGGAGCTCGCTTCCGACGCAGTCTGGGTCTCTCCTGCGGAGTGCTGTCTAATCATTCTTTAGACCTAAATAGGTCACGAAGCCCCGCCTTCCAGCAGCCAATCCAGTTGAATCAACGGGTACACTTGCGGATATAAGTGGAGTTTCACTTATCTGCATGCACAGTTTGGAAGGCCTTATTGTCAGTATTCTTTAGATTGAGCGAGGGCCTGAGGAAAAAATGAAGTTCCAAAATTAATTTACTACGCAATAATGGTTTTTTGGGTTAATTTTGACCGTCTGCATTAGCGCAATTCATTTTTGGAAAATAATCATAACTACAAATTATCGTTTCGCAGATATGGAAGACAGTATTCAAACCATCACTGAAAGGCGCATTTTTTAACATACAAGTCATTATGAATGGCCATACTCACCAAATATCCTTCCCTTGTAAGAAATTTATGATACATGAGAAAGAACACAGCGTGGAGGGGGGAGGAGGGTGGGGGAAGTGCAGGAATTTCCAGCTATCTTGCTCAGAGCCAAGCATAGAAATGTGCAACATATCTGCTTCTTCTTTTGAGTACCTCCATTCAGAGTGTTTTGAAAATTTTTCACCCTTGCATCATGTTTCGCTGCTAGTAGAAAGCAGATCTTGGTACGATGTGGCTTCAAAATGCAAAAAAAAGACGAAGTACCCCTTGAATTTCGCCAAACTTTACGATGTCGCCTTTGATCCCAAACTCTAAACGTAAAAGAGCCTCAAAAAACGAAACGTTGACTAAAAAATCTAATTTCTCGGCTACAAAAATGATATCCCTTTTGCTTTTGGCCAAAAAATCCACAGGTTGCAAGACTTTTTTTTTTATAAACTAGGAAATATCTCTTGTCTAAGAGGAAAATGTTTTGAAAATCATTTCAAAGATTTAGGCAAATTCTTTGTCGATAAGCATTGATGGCAGTGCATTCACCAAATGGAGTAAGCCACAAGTTAGGACGATAAGGTAAGTTGCATTTGTTTTGGCCTGAAAATTCTTTGCACATTCTCTAAAAATATTTTTCTTCTCTCTTTTATTGGAGAGTTCCTATGCGCTTATCAGAAATTGCATCTCGACATGAATGAGGAGCTCGCGCGCATATTGAATGTGTTACACAGTTTCATGAATGTATAGGTGGAAAGGAAACGCGAGGGCGGGCGGGGGGCAGCTTCATCGATTGTTGATAATCTAAAATCTTGTAATTTTTCTGAGGACTGAATTAGTCAAAAAACCAGGATTTTGAGGCTATTTGCTAAGACTTGGAGATCTTTCTTGAACGGTTTTTGGGGATGGTTAGTGCTTCCTCCCTAAAAAAATTTTTCCTAGGATTATCAATGATATGTTGCATAACCATACACTACTAGTTATCTTATCATTACACGTATTGATGCTTGATTTTTTTCAGGAGAAATGGGTGAGTCTGCAATGTTTTGATTAACAGAGGTACGTGCATCTTATCAGAACTACTAGGTTGGTTACAAAATGTTATTTTGATTGTGTTCAGAGACTGTACTGCTTACATTTTGAGATATGATGCGGGCGATAAGGTAAATGCAAAAATGGTAAGTACGTAGCATTTAGAATAAAGCAAGCTCTACAAGATGCTCTAACCATTTGCAAAAAGTTAGGTGTTGGAAGTTTAGAACTGTAGAACTTATTCTACCATATCGGTACTCTTCTTATTTTTTTTTGGCATCTACCTTGCCGCCAGCATCAAATATCAAGATGTAAAGCGACATGCAGTTTAGTTAAACCTAGTATTTAGCACATGTTCTTACCTTTCGTTTCAACCAGATCGGCTGCTGCAAGGCGGGGCTTCATCACCTAGAAGACGACTGCTCATGTCTGCGACGTAGTCTGCGCCTCCACCGCGAGCATGCTCTCTGATCATTCTCTAGCCTTAATTGGGTCACGCAGCCCCGCCCTCCAGCCGTCGATCTGGTTGAAGCAAAGGGTACATATGATTTATCTTGTGTTAATAGAATTTCTGCCTATAAAAAATTGAATCGTACAGAGTAGTTGAAATACAGCAATACACGGAACATTACGCGACTAAAGTGGTTTATATCAAGGAAGAGACAGTTGTATGGACCGCTCCTCACGGCGCAGAGGTAAAGAGCACTTGGTTTACAAAAAGTATTCAGAATTTTTACTCCCTCTCTCCCCGGATTCTACCCAAATTGTTTTTTCCTTATTTGTAAATTTTGTTGATTCAGGTATTGAATGCTGGATCTCATAAATTTCCATTCGCTTTCACACTGCCGGAAAATTGTCCACCTAGTTTCGAAAGTAGGATTTGCTGCCACATATTTTCTATAAAATCAAAAACTATTTGCACATTTCAGGCAGTTATGGCTACATTCGATATTTAATAAAATTGGAACTTGATCGACCATGGTTTTTCAACACAACAGATAAAAAGCTATTCACAGGTGAAGTTTTTTGCTTCAGTTCGTCTTTTGCAGGGTGCTATCACCTCTAACCCCCTCCTAGAATGGTTTATTTGTAAAATTTTGCTTTTGTTTGTAAGAACGAATCAAGATAAATCAAATTACAATTTCACAAATTTTTAAAAATTCAAAGCCCTCATTAAGAGTTTTTCTGGGCTTGATTCCACTACGCTTTCGAAAATTTCAAGGTAGATCCACTGATTGAGTGGGAAGCACTTCAAATAATTTTCGTAGGCGTGTCAGGTATAAGGGTTAGCTATTCCCTTACCTGATGTGTAGCGGGCTTACTAGGTCTTACTATAATATTTATTATAAATAGTTATATACAAAAGGGGGAAAAGGGGAAGGGAAGGCAACCGGCTACTGCCGGCGGCCGGAGGTCACTGCCAGAGGTTGGCTGTCTTCGGCCAACCTCCTTCTCGAGCAGCTGTTGTGGCTAGCTGCGTCCCGACATCTCCATTCCTTCAGGAAGCTCGTCCTCGAGCTTGTGGCATGGCTGAGGTTCCGAGACGTTGTAGTGGTTGGCGTTGATGTGGTGGATGTTCTTCCGAGTGACGTGCGTTGAAGTTTGCACGTAATTTACGGCGAGAACATACAGTTGAAGTGGTGTTATATCAAGATATGGCAGAAGTTCTTCCGAGTAACTTGTGTTGGAATTTACACGTGATATACGGCGAGAACGTACAGTTGAAGTAGTGATATAAAAATAGATACGAATGTGAGGATATGGATCCGGTGGACTGGAAGCAGACACGACCTTCACCTAGAATATCCCATGGCTTTAAGTAAGATCGTCCTCGAGCTTGAAGGTAGCTGAGGAGCGGGGGAGGGACTGCAGAGAGATGCAGTTGACGTGAATGAGGTTTCCGACATGATGTTGGGAAGGACTTGGAGTGGAGTTGTAGGAAATGGAGATGGACCGATTGATATATCAGAGGGGCAAATGATTTAACATTTGGGGTGGAGTTTACAGCATGTAGAGAAATTGTACTACAAAATTCGTGAACATACAAAGTAGAAGGTATAAGACTGGTTGACAACGAATTATTTTACGGTGATAATAATGGTAAATTAATGATAAATTCATGATACATATACGCAGAAAAATTTTAACAGTAATTTCCAGGCAATTATAAAACATAATTCAATAGTAATTTTACCAAATTACAAAATTTTGTTCACAGTAACATTTTCTGTGAATAATTGCATGTAAAACAGAGGCGTAACGAGTTCATATGTTGAATTGGGCACTGCACACTTTTTTCATTCAGCATGAGGGCAAAATTTGTTTGTTACAAAAAGGTTTTTGATGTTGAGCTGCTTAGTGCGAAAGATTTCTTTGAATTGCCTGTTCAAAGAAAATTTTAAGGTACGTAAATACGCGACGGTGCAGCAAAATGGGGGAAACAAACTAACCTTAGAGAATAAATAGCTACTCATTGCAAAATATCGAATGTATATAAAAATTTAGCGAGCAATTATTCATCCTCTCCTTCGGAATCGATGTTTGGATCCGCTGTAAATGATTTCTTCAGTTGCAAACGAGGAGTTCGTCTGGCAAACTGAGTTTGTTCAGCATTTTCTGGAGTTTCAGTTGGCGTATGTGATATAGTGAGTTTTTGGGGGGGGGGGGGGGGAAACTCTAGCCAATGTTGAACTATGAGAATAGATTTTGAGTCTATTCATATAGACACATTAAGTTTTAGTAGGTCCAATCAAATTAGAGATAGTGACATTCGGACAATCGACTTGCTGTCAGGTATAAGGGTTAGCTATTCCCTTACCTGATGTGTAGCGGGCTTACTAGGTCTTACTATAATGATTATTATAAATAGTTATATACAAAAGGGGGAAAAGGGGAAGGGAAGGCAACCGGCTACTGCCGGCGGCCGGAGGTCACTGCCAGAGGTTGGCTGTCTTCGGCCAACCTCCTTCTCGAGCAGCTGTTGTAGCTAGCTGCGTCCCGACAGGCGTTGCCCCTCTTCCCCTCCCCCCCCCCCCTTCTCCACCCAAAAAAGGATTTCTGGACCACCAATGATTTTTACATATCCAAGTTAATTCCATTTGTTAGCAAATGTTTTTTTTTAAATAGAATTCTTCTAAAAACAAGTTGACTCTTAAATTTTTGGAATTTCAAAGATAGATTTTCAAAAGTTACTGATTGAAGAGCTAATTCAGCATCTTCTCTATTTGCAGAGTTTTGTTGCGTATTTCGTCTTCTACACCCTCCCCCCCCCCTCGCGCCCCCTCAAAAGCCTATCCTACATACTACTAATATTCTATAATTTCAGTGATCCCTGTATTTGACCTTAATGCTACTCCACAAATGATAGAACCCATCACCGGCGTTAAAGCTAACAATTTGGGCGTTGCATTATTCAAACATGGAAAAGTCACTATGGAGGTTGATTCATACTTTTTCGTAAAATAGCGTTGAGATCAATAAATATTTTCAGTATGAAATACCCAAATCAGGTTTTGCTCCTGGTGAAATGATAGTGGTCAATCTAAAAATCAACAATGAAAGCACTAAAGTAGTGACAAGGGTAGGAATATTTATTTTTGTTGCGTGTCGATGTATAAGACTGGCATTTTAGGCTCGAGTAAAATTGATGGAAAACTCGAGATATGTGGCCTTTCCCACTTGGGAAACGGAAACTCTTCCACCTGGAACGTTCTTGAATGGTCGTGGTGATCAGGAAGAACTTAGCAGAAAGATAGCAACCGGAGAACAAGTAAGATTGCCGCTATCTTTTGTGTAGATATGTGAGCAAAGCACAAAATGTAGTTAAATGATTGATATCACTGTTCTTCCCACGTGACTTATCCTGGATTTAGCTAGCTTGGCGGTTGAAAGGCGGGGCTTCGTGCTAATTAAGATCAGATAATGATAAGAGAGCACGCGCGCGAGAGAGACGCAGACTGCGTCGAGGGAGCGAGCGGTTTTAACTAGGTCACGAAGTTCCGCCTTCCATCCGCAAACCAAATGAGTCGAAGGTGTATGCTGCATGAAAAAAATTTCCATTCTGCGTTAAAGGCAGAGTCTGGGCAGATATGATGATAACAAAGAAACGGCAGGTTGCAACAGCGCCTACCTATGCTGTTATAGCTGCTCGAATGGCATCTTCCAATTTGCTTTTAAAGCTACAAAACTGCTCCAGGAGCTGTGTCTACGCGAATTACTAATTATTCACGAAGGCACCTCGTATTTTTTACCCCGTTCTTACGCTTGCCCTATCCATCTTGGATGCGATTGAACAAGAGGTTTCGTTTGTGTTTTTACGTTCACTTCCTCGAATAATTCAATCAAAGCGTCCTGAGAGGCTCGCCCATTTGGCTCTACCTTTTCTAGAAACATAAGGAATTTTTCCGCAAGATAGAGTCGCGTTACCTAGTAATGTTGCGTTTTCATGTCTAGTTAAGAGGCTGGGCTTATACAAGATGATGTTTGCTGTTACGCTTTGTCTTACAAGGAAAGGATTTTTGCGTCAAATTTGGTCACCCGAGATATGATCGGAAGACCAATACCTCTGGTAGATGTAGTGTAGTGGCTAGTGCGATAGCCTCACAAGTTAATGAAGGTGTAGGTTTAGACCTTTTGTATTTCTCAGTTTTGCATTGCCTCAATTAAGCTTTTTTTGACAGGTTTCCTCGAAGTAAATGCGTGTCCTTACTCTTTGAAGATTCACGAGGGAGTCATTTCTATATGTGTGTTTCCTACATTTATTACAAGAGGTGCTTATAAAAATGAAAATGAACGGAAAATGAAGTCATGTTAACATGTTACCATGTTGGTGTTTGTTCCTATCGTATTTGCCTCCGCGGCCAAACTTGGCGCGAAAATATTTCGTAGCTTCTCCCAAAGATTAGCAAAAACGGAAGTCAGATTCGCAATCAGCGTTCGAAGACTAGTGTAATGGTAAAGATCTCATCTCAAAAGCTCGCGGACACTGTATCGTTCCCTTGTTAGAGGCAGTGTCCGGGCAAGAAAACTTCGAGTTTTTTTGCTAATCGGACCTACATGTTATGTTGAATTCGAGAATCCAAATGAGAGCGCGAAAACGACAACAAGAGCGCTTTAACGCAGTAGGTAAATCAGCAGGTGGTAGTCTTTCAGTCTAAGTCACTCTTCCAGTTTCCGGAGCGATCATCTCGCTTCTGTTAACCGCCGTAAGCCGACCGAGCTCAAACGCGTGAATCAAAGCAGGGATCGAGAAGATCGCTCACAAAGTTGGGAGGGTGACTTCACGGACCTTAACGCATAACTTTACGGTACTCTGGCATTAGTAGTGAAACAGTTGTTTGTGTCAACAATGTCGGCACAAGAAACTTTCTGAATTTTTGCAACAAGTATTGGGAACCTGTCATTATTCTCGCACAATTGCTTAACATTTCTGCGATAGTATGAAGATTTCCAACCATCCAGCGGGATAAGTGACAGTCAACTAGCAGGTGCTGACTATTAGTTCAGCGAGCGTTATCAATCATTTTCGACTCGCTTGTGCACAAGGATTCTCATATTGCTAACAGCACTACGGCTGAAATTGCTTGCAAAGTTCCGCTTGGAAAGAAGGTTGCTTGAGACCACAATAGTAAGTAGCGAGAGTCTGTTGCTCCGCCAGTATTACTGCCCTCTGGAGTGTTTGTGGCGACAGAGAGCTCTAAACCAGAGTTAGATTAACATGTGCGTGGCCCATTCTTACAACAAAAGAGTATTCGACCCTAGGGCCTCAAGATGTTTGTTGCAAAATAATGGTCTGCGCCCATCCTTTTGCAACAAAAACGTATCGGATCTATGCTGTCGCACTTTCAATTTTTAGAAAATTTTCATCGACAGTTACAAAACTGGCAAAGCACAGATTTATCTTCAAGTTCCACCCACTGTACCTTCCTTCAGCACCTGCCCAATAATTGCTGTGGATTATGTATTGGACGTAAGCATTTTGATTTCAAATATACAATCCATTTTGATCATTATTAAACCAGATCAAACTTGAAACAAATGGTACTCTCAATCGTAACGTTGAGACAACTCATCCTATAACAGTGGGTACAATACCCGTGAGCACACCAACTCCTGACACTCAGCCATCTGCGCCTCCCCTTGACTCACCTGCGGGTCCTACCGTTGAGCCCTCTGCTCCACCAATCGAAAAATCGGGTGAACCACAGGATACTCCCAAAATTTATCCAAGTAAGCCATTCAGTATCTGCTCATTGACAAGATTATTATCATTTGTTTCAGTATATCCACCGCTTCCACCACCAAGCTATGAGGAGTCAGTAAATGGAGTTGATGGCACGTCATTAGACGCTGGCGACATGGAGGTATCAAATCTTCATATAGCAAATAATTTACACTAACACTTACTTGCAGCGATACGTACCATGTTATCCCTTCTATGCCTTGCCATCCAAGATCTCTAAGACAAATGACTAATTCGTGAAGACTTATGTCGTGGTGACTGTGCACATACTTTTCTGTTCGTGAAAAGAGGCATTTCGCTAAACTTATTCGTTCGATACATGTTATCATTGCGTTCATGTAACATAAGATGATTTCAAAAAAGTGTCCACACCAAAAAGCGTTTGAAGAAACTCCCAGAAGAATCCACTAACTTACCGAAGTATTCTGCGTGAGCTTATATCAATAGCAATACGCCTAGATAGTGGTCGCAAATCCGGCGCTGTGACAACTGTTACGCACTCATTGCATGCTCGCGTGTCTGCCACGGCGGATTTGGTAGTCATCCGGCGCGACGGATCGCAGACCGTTTTTGGCTAGGGCATGGTTCTCCAGCGATAATGGCGCCGGCGGTAATTCGTGCAGAGCAGAATTTAGCGATATCGCGTCGCGTGTGCTGCATCGGCGACTGGGTGATAGCGATGAGGAGCGAAGGAGATTTGGGGCTTTCCTGTAAACACGCGTTGATGTTTTAGATTGTTTTCCTGGAGAAGGAAATCTTTCTTGAAATACTTGTGCAGATTTCGTAATGCGTCATGGGTATCCCTTTTCCTCTAGATCTAAACCGGTTGATTATTTAAAAAGTTTTTTCCCAGTGATTTGAGTAATGATTTATTGCTGCGTGCAGTGATGCCTTCTCATTCCGCTTGATCGGATAATCTCAGCATAAATAAAAGGCAAAAGAGACTTTATAATTTTTAAAAGATCGTAGAGGATTTTGTTGCTAACAACTCTAGTAAGCGAAGATGCCGAGCCTTGTCTGTAACCTAAAACATATGTGTGAAATGCCAGCCGGGTGCCTCCGTCACCATAACGATTCGAACTGTTAACCATAGGACCAGCAAAGCTAGACCATCTCACCTTGTTTGACGTCAGTCAAGTGATCCGACCGCTCGTGACCAAGTTGTGCAGAATGATGGTATGCGTCTTTGCCCTTCGTGCTGTTTATACTGTTACAATCAAAGCGCAGTTGCTTTGACATGATAATTCTTTGAATACGGAATTCATTCTTCTTTTTCGTTCGTTTTCGGGTTACGCTATATAATCTAAAATGCTCCGGATGTCTTGCGGGGATACTTGCTCGTAGGACAAGATTGTGACAGCAATATTAAAAGATTTGCTATCGTGCAACAGTTTACTAAGTGCAACTTAGGGGTGGATGATTTGCGTTTTACGAGTCCATTCCAAGTGCTCTTTGATCAGCAGACATCACGATCGTCCATTCCCTACATATTCTTCACCGCATACTGGGCAAGTAATGGGATAGAGTCCCGCATTTTAAGCAGTCACCTTGTCTTCCGAAGGGACATATCACGCATTTAATGTTGAGCAAATCTTCTTATACATAAAAACGGAATGTCTGTTTGTTGTCTGTGTACATACGTGCGAAATAAAAATTTTTATTTCTGAAATAATCCGGACCAGACTTGCTTGCATATGGTGTCGCAGGCCTTTTCATTATTGATCGACATTGATTTTATCTATTTTTATCGGTTTTGCCATATCTGCGCTACGGGTCTGGGAGATGAGCACTGGAGGGTAAGTGAGCATGCTGAGCATCTATTCGGGAATCACCGTTGGTGCCACTTATTTGCAAATATCCACTGGATAGCGCAATATCTCTGGACAAGAAATGCCATACGTTCTTGAGCGTCAGAAGAGACCATATACGCTGTTATGAACATGTTAATCAGAATAGGCCCTTTCATGTTTCGTGGATGTGCAGAACAGCAGTGAACTGACATAAAATGATTTAATTGGTAGGCTCTCAATACCACTTGGTTTCCAAATTCCGTTATGTAAATACTCCTGAACATTTAGGAAAGTCAACTAGTTTTGGTTAGCTTTGTGGGTGTATTCTATACTTCGTGACCGCACATCGAAAATGTCGAAATGTATATCGACTTCTTTTTGGGTGGAGCATTATAGCAATTGTCAGTGTATCTGCAGTACAAGAGAGTTTAAGCGCTAGCACCGATTTTCTACTTTTTCTACATGAAAACTATCGCCATCGTGGGTGCCAACCTTTGTCTCATGGCTGGTCCCTAACTTGTTCAGACTACTGGCCCGAACGACGCAATATGGAGCAATTCAAGCACTCGTTCAGCAACGTCATCACTTTCCATGTATGTTGGAGTCATACATATTACGCGAGCTGTGGCATTCGCATAGAAGTTTGTGTATGCTTGCATAGCATCCCGTTGAAAACCTTGGCAAGTGAGGTGACGTCGAAAGACCCCATATTACATCCACTTTCTAGTATTGCGTTATGCCGCCGCTCAAGAAACATTTTGGGATTTGTGAGATGCGCAGGAATGTGCAGTCTGCCCCAATAGGGATCAAGCCGAACCGTCGGTTGGATTTGCGCGCTCGCACCTTTAGGGGTTTACCTGCATACGCGCGCTGCCGCAGAGAGCGAAGAGATTGAGGAGAGAGTAGACTAGCTAGCCGTAAATTTGACACACTACCCACGCAACACGGATTCTCACCATGCCAATTTTGTCCTGAATGGGATTGGGGCAGACTGTACTTGAGTCAACCACGAAACTTTGTCAATGTTCTTCTGTGCAGCTTATGGTGGGTCTAACCTGGTAATCAGCGAACTAACAGAGGGGAAAGGCCATGGAGGAATTTTATGTGTTTTGACAAGGACATAAGTACAGAGCAGAAGGGTAGATCATTTTTTAGTTGTGAGAGTAGGCTTAGATAATCCGTTTCGCAGCTCGACCCATATCTTATCAAATTGTTTGATATGTTCTTGATTTCCCATTTATGACTTTTTGGGTTTTGAAATTGTTCTTACTAAAACAGAGCAGTAACATATGCTCTTGTGTTCTTCTGCAGTGTTTCGAGGAGTAATGCACAATGCACGCCGTTTTTCTAAAAATTGCATTGTATTGCTCCAATTAGACCTTTGTTTTTGTTTCTTGCTCTTTATTCGCTAGTCACAGACAGTGGCCGGCAGAAATCGATGCGATGGAAACTGAGTCGCCAGCTACAGGCCAGAAAAGAATATGAGATATTCATCAATTCAGATAACACAACCTTTCTAATTGTTTCATTCCTGATATAACATTGTTGATTTCATAACTCCCATGATAAGGGAAAAAAGTTGATGTGTCATCTTTTGTTATAAAAACATACGCATCCCCTTCTCCGTTGTCAGAAACGACATTGATTCGTACAAAGGATCCCTATGTTGCTTTTTTGGTCTTTTGTTTCTCATCAGAAACTAGACAATGCGCTTAAATGCTATTATAATCCCTCATGTTTTTCTAGACGAATAGATGTTAGAAAGAAAAAATTTTAGAATTTTCTTCTGCAATACTCGCGAAACGTACCAGCATAAGATTAAGAAATCCTCTTCTTTCCTTCTTACAGAACGAGTCTCTCTCTGAGTGTTTCAGTCTATCATTTGATTTTTCCTTTTCGGTTCTTGACTGTTGATGGCTTATATTGTGGTTCTGACTCATTGTGCCCGCATACGTATTGGCCTTTTTTATGAAAATGTGGCGCGTACAATGGGGGATGAGTCGCGAATTCTTTGGTAGTAGCCCCCATGGACTGTAATTTGTATAAGCAATTATACTTGTGAATAACTTGGCACACATACACTTCGGGCCCGGCGGGTGTCATAGGCTACTTTTCGTCATCGATCGATATCGATTTTATCAATTTTTATCGATTTTTTGCAAAGTTTGAGCTACGGGGCTGGGAGTTCGCACAGGGGGGTAATCGAGCATGCTGATCATCCCCAAGGGGGGTGATCAGCATGCTCGATTACACCCCTGTGCCAAATTCCAGCCCCCTAGCTCAAATTTTCAAAAAATCGATAAAATCAATAAAAGTAATGGACGATCTTGAAAACTAATATTGTATTCGTAATCTGCATGCTCGATTACCCCCTGTGCAAGCCCCAGCCCCGCGGGTCAATCTTTACAAAAAAATCGATAAAATCGATAAAAGTAATGGACGATCCTGAAAACTAATATTGTGTTCGTAATCAGCATGCTCGATTACCCCCCTGTGCAAAATCCCAGCCTCGCATGTCAAAATTTACAAAAAATCGATAGTATCAATAAAAGTAATCGATAATTCTGAAAACTAATATTGTATTCGGAATCCCCATGCTCACTTCCCCCCCTGTGCCGACTCCTAGCCCTGTAGGTGAACTCTGCAAAAAAATCGATAAAAATCGGTAAAATCGACATCGATCGATAACGAAAAGTGGACTGTGACACCCGCCGGGGCCCGAAGTGTATGTGTGCCAAGTTTGGTCCGGATACGGCGGATCCGGGTAAGCCAGCTAGTTGCTAATAAATTTACAAGAGGGACCAGGAAAAATACGGAGGTATTGTGTAAAAGCAAAATTTTTGCGCATTACAGCAGTACCATTGCCATGAATTGAAATGAGAAAGTAGGAAAGTCGAAAGCAAACGAACAGAAAAACTTGGAAGCGGCATTCATGAGCAAGCTTAGAAAATCTAAAAACATCACTGCGGAAATCGGAAAGATACGAACCTAAGTTTCATTACCTTCTCTTTCTAGCTGAGCAAAATTGGCACCGATTTCTTTTCTGACATACATCCTTTACCACCAAAAAATTACATATAGTTTCTTCTAGCATTTTCGTTCATCGTCACTCTTTACATTTTGCAATTTATTTCGCGCAAATATGAGTTGGTCACAATTATAGGTAACATGCCAAGCAATTCGCTTAATATAGTATTCTCACAACCACAAGGTGTCTATCATCCTGGCTGCAGTGTCTGCGGAACAGCTCAGCTAAATCTTGAGGAGCCGATGAAGGTAAGTCGGTTAAAATGCTGAGATCTGAAAAAGTGAGTAAAATCAACCCTACTTACAATAGTTGCCATGCTTTGTTGCTTTTTACTAGTTTGAAAAGCTTTGTTCTTACTTGCTAAGGAGAAATGGACTTCCACTTTTACATGCATACCCAAAATAAGTTCTTCCCCAAATGGAAATGGGGTAGATTGAGGGAAAGCACAGATATATTTTCAAAGTTTGTTTTGGTTCACTCAATATAAAGAAGATCTGTTGCAAGTTAATTTTTCCAAATACTAAAAACAAATAAATTTCTAGTTTCGTTTCTTTCCTACCACTACTAGACGGAAATTAGACAAAGATTACGACCTTCCCCGGAAGTCATATGAGAAAAGATCGTTAAGTACAAACAAAAAATAGATTGAAAATCAAACTAACCACAACCACTTCGATATTCCTTTCTGACTAGGATAATCTGAAAAATAGATACCAATATTCATAAATAATGCTGTAAAGGAAAGAAAGTCTATGAGTTCGAAAATTTGATTTATAAAAATTAACCTTTTAAGATGAAAAAATTATTCTAAGAGAAGGACAAAATGACCAAGCTGCGGAAAGCTATATTATAGATTCGGAAATTTTTGCAAGGCATGAACTTGAGATAAGTAAAACATGTATAAGTACAACTTCGATATGCCCATGAAAATAATGCATCTGACAATTAGAAAGTACATGAAAGGTGGGGGGGGGGGGGGGGGAGACTGCTTATAAGTAAAGTTTTTTTCTCAAATGCAGACTTTTGCTCATCTGTGCATGCAATCGTGCATCTATACAACTAATGTGCTCCTTCGCGTAATGTTGTGTAGCAATGTTTTGAAATTTTATTCTTGCTTTTTTTCCTTGTAGGAAGTTGAAGGTTCTTTTGAAATTCAATAAACTCTGCATTGAGAGTTGAAAAATATATTTAGGCAAGATCTTTGACAATTGGCATTGATGGCAGCGCGTTCACCAGATGGAGCAAGCGGCGAAGTCGGACAGTAAGGTAAGTTGCAGTGGTTCGTTCTGACTATTCAAAAACATAGTACTTTTAACTTTTCGGAATTTTTTGTTTTGGACCATTTCTCCCTTCCCTTCCCTCTTCCCCATCCGAAAATTTTTTCTGACCTTAGCACTAATAATATGCACCATATAATACGTAATTCATGTGTGATCGTGTATGTGGATGCTTGACTTTTCAGGAGAAATGGGTGAGTCTGCAATATTTTGATGTCTTTAACAGAGGTGCGTGTGGTCACTTATTACAAATATTTGAAACTATTTGTACTGACTTAGTGAAATTCCTACCTGTAAATTACCGAATTCTACAGAAGAACTGAAACTGAGCATTACACGGAGCATTATTCGGCTAAAGTGGCCTATGTGAAAGAAAAGACAATTGTGTGGACCGCTCCGCATGACGCAGAGGTAATGTAAAAACTCCTTTCCTCAGCGTGCATTCTTTCCATAGCTACTTCCCCTTCCCTAGATGCTTCGTATGTTCTTTCAAAGTTTTCCTGATCCAGGTGCTGAATGCTGGTTTTCATAGTTTTCCATTCGCTTTCACACTACCAGAGAATTGTCCACCCAGTTTTGAAAGTAAGCCTTGAAAATTTATTTTTTCCTGAAAAAGCATAATATTACGTCGGTCCGAAAGTTCGTGCCGTTTTTCAGACCCATGCTTGAACCACTCAGAATAATGACAAACCACTCAAAATAGCAATAAAAAATAAAATAACAAGCGCTTCAAAAAGTGTTTGATGCAGAATTTCCTCATGTTTTCAGTCATGTTTTTGTTCGGATTCCTTTGATGTCCGCTCAAATAATCGCCAGAATCTCTAACCCATAGTTTTTAAACATCATCTATTGGCTTATTTATACTTTCCATTTTCAACTACCGGACTAGCTTTGATAGCAACTGGATAGAATAGACAAAATGCAATACAACACATTTTTTGGCATCTTTTACTGGCTTCTCAAAATTTTTGAGAATATTTTTCAGAAGCTATCAAATCCCATAGTTGGGCATCTCATTCCTCACAGACAGGTAATGGCACCACCTGGCACGGATCAAGCTGCAGTGGCGGACCGAGGGAGGGGGGGGGGCGCCTCCCCCCCCCCCCCCCGAAAATGGGTCGCGAAATTTTTGAAACTTACCTATATGGGTTATAAAAATGTGCAAACGACTTGTTTATTTTTGTAAATAATTAAAATATTTTTTGAGTTTTTTTAAAAATTCAAATTAGCTTTATAACAAAAATTCTTTCGGGGGCGTGGCCTCCCGTCGGCACGCTGCCGGCGTTAGGGTGACATGTCTGAGGATAAAATTATTGTAATTCTTGTTTCCAGGCTCTCCCAAGGCTGTACCCAGAAAATTCGGAATCCCATTTTTCAAATTGCTTAACGCTTAGTTGCTTGCTAAAATTAGCTTTAAGTATCAAGCTGTTTGTGGAAGTTCCAAATTCTGAAGATTTATTGGTGTTTGAAGAGGATGTGTATTTAACGACTTCGCAAAAGTACAGGCTTTTAAAAAAATATCCTAAGAACTACTAAAAAGGTGGTTGAAGAAGCCAAAAAATATATTGTATTGCATTTTGTTTACTCTCTCCAGTGTTATCAAGACTAGTTAAAAAGTTGAAAATGGAATTGTAAAAATTAGCCCGAACCCAAGATGGTTACGTTGAGTTGGAGATGGCATCATTTAGGCGGACATCAAAGGATTTTGGTTAAAAACATAGCCTTTAGGAAGAGGAAGAAATTCTGCAGCGAACTGAAGCGCTTCTCTATCATTATTCCAGGTGGTTTGAGCATGGGCCTAAAAAAACTGCATGAGCTTTCGGACCGACCTAATGTTTGCATATCACAGGTTGTTATGGTTACATTCGATATATGATAAAAGTGGAACTTGATCGACCATGGCGTTTCAATAAAAGGGATAAAAAGCTATTTACAGGTAAAATTTTTTGCTACCGAGCAGTTGTTGAGCTTTATATTGTTAACATTTTTTGATAATCGGCTCCCCAAATCTACAGAGTTTCCAAAAATTGAACAACATATCTTTACAGGCAAACCAACATCTGGAATTTTTTATTTTTCGGCTGGCCTTATGTTCCCACAAATGAACCGAAATTTTTTCGGAAAAACACTACCCATCCATTTCTTTCAGTAATCCCTGTATTCGACCTAAATGCTATTCCCCAAACAGTGGAACCTATTACCGGCGTAAAAGTCAACAATTTGGGTGTTGCATTATTTAAACATGGAAACGTCACTATGGAGGTAGCGTTGCAACTCGCATCCTTTTAAAAGATCTCAACGATCAATATACATACTTTCAGTATGAAATATCCAAGTCAGGTTTTGCTCCTGGAGAAATGATTGTGGTCAGCATGAAAATCAACAATGAAAGTACCAAAGCGGTGACAAGAGTAGGACCATTTATTTTTTGTGTAGTAAATGAAAAGATTGGCGATTTCGGGCTCGTGTGAAATTAGTGGAAAACTCGAGATATGTGGCTTTTCGCACCTGGGAATCTTTGCCTCCTGGTATGTTCTTGGAAAACCGTGGTGATCATCAAAGGCTCAGTAGAAAGATAGCGATTGGAGAACAAGTAAGTTTCACGCTCAGCTAACGTAAGTAAAGCATGGTGGCGTAATGAAGTGCTTGGCAAACTGAAGCAAGCCAAAAATCTACGGTAACACTTCTAAGGGCTTCTAGTATGCAACTGTTAGTGTAAGAACAGCACAGGATCACTTTGATAAAAACATGGAAATTTTCGGTTTCTTGATTTCTTGCTGATAAAAAAATGCGGCAACAGCACATATGAATGTCTGATGTGGAATGTATATGCGTGGGCGAGCTAGAAATTTGTAGGATTCTTTCAAACGAAGATATGAAAATTTTTCGGTTTTTTGGGCATCCGAAACTTTTTAGATTTTGGTTTAAAACTCGCGATGGAGCAAAGCTTGTGCAGAATCATAAACGCCATCTTATCGACCTTGCTTTGCTCTTTCGAATGGTATCCTAATGTCTAATTAGAATAAGAAGTGAGTGACTTATTACAGCGAAAACTCAGAAATGAAAAGACTTATGGGACAAACTAATAATTCTTTGAAATCTTTTAGAAATTTAAATTGGCTTTGTAAAATAATTTTTTGGCTGCCGCCGCGTCCCTTTTTTTCTATATTTTAGGAAGGACTCGCAAAAGTTCTGAGAAGCATCCAAGAATTTTTCGGGCGGCGGCTGCCGGCGCGCTATGAAGGCACCCTTAGATTATCATATACGTGACCCATTCTCTCAAAAAAGGGTACTCAACCTTAGGGCATCAAGGATGCTTTTTGCAATATAATTGTCTGCGTCCGTCCTTTCGCAACAAACAACATATCGGATTTATGCTGTACTCACTTCCCATTTTTAGAAAATTTTTATCGACAGTTATAAAACTGGCAAAGCACAAATTTATCTTCAAGTTCCACCCACTGTACCTTCCTTCAGCACCTGTCCAATAGTCGCTGTGGATTATATATTGGACGTAAGCATTTTGATTTTGAATACAATCATTCTAATCACTATTTCTCCAGATCAAACTTGAAACAAATGGTACTCTCAACCGTAACGTTGAGACAACTCATCCTATAACAGTGGGTACGATACCCGTGAGCACTTCAACTCCTGACATTCAGCCATCTGCGCCTCCTCTTGACTCACCTGTGGGTCCTACCGTTGAGCCCTCTGCTCCACCAATCGAAAAATCGGGTGAACCACAGGAAACTCCCAGAGTTTATCCAAGTAAGCCATTCAGTATCTGCTCATTGACAAGATTATTTTCATTTGTTTTAGTATATCCACCGCTTCCACCACCAAGCTATGAGGAGTCAGTGAATGGAGTTGATGGCACGTCATTAGACGTTGGCGACATGGAGGTATCAAATCTTCATATAGCAAACAATTTACACTAACACTCACTTGCAGCGATACGTACCATGTTATCCATTCTATGCTTTGCCACCCGAAATCTCCAAGAGAAAGGACTAATTCGTAAAGACTTATGTTTTGTTAACTCGCGCATATTTCTATTATGTTGCTGAAATGAGACATTTCGCTAAGCTTATTCGTTCAATTTCATGTTATATCATTACGTTTCATGTAACATAAAAATAAGGTCTAAAAAAATGTTCACACCAAACAACGTTTAAAGCAATTCCTAAAAAAGTCTACTCTATTACTGTACTCTATGTAAAGGCTACTGCATAACAGAGGCGTAGAAGCAGTATTTGTTGAGTGCGCGCGTATGCTCATCGTTGCAAATCCTGCGCCTCAAGCGCTCCGCGGCTAAGGGAGCCTTCAGATCGCGCCGGTTGTCGCGTTTGCAGACTGATTGCCACTTTTGCAGCCGCGCAGTGGGTCAGAGCTTTTATGTGGGGCACGTAGGGGGGACTTCATCGCATGTGATATTTGCATGGTTTTTAATCAATTTCCGTTGTTCTTTCGTCTTGAAGTCTTTCTTTCATGATATAGGAAAAAATCTCGTTACAGATATGATTTACTTGATGTGGTTCCCTTTTTTTCGCTAACGTGCGGTGCTGTAGGAGCGAATGTTTGTAAAAAGAAATACGCTTTTGACCTATGCCACTACAGAGTTGCTTTAGGCGAGCGTGTGAGCAAAGTAATGCTAACCGTAATTACTCCTCAAGGTTCTCATTTTCAGGCTATTTCTATTCTCGTCCAATATGAGAAGAGCGATTTGTTTAAGACAATGTTCATCCTGTCTTAAAGGCAGTGTCCAGGCAAATCTGGACCCTTTGGTTTTTTGCGTGGAAACTGATGGGGAGCCACTGACTAAACCACTGCCCGAGTTGCAGCGCACGGGATTCACTCACCCCAGAGAAATCGGCCGCCGAGCCCGTCGCCCCCGCGCCGTGACCGTACCACTTCAACAGCCCAAACGCACATCACGGTCACGGCGCGAAACCATGAGGACAGGGTGTAGCGCGGAAACTCGTTGGGAGGGTACGAAATAGCACGGAAAAACATGCAAAAAACCAAAGGGTCCAGATTTGCCTGGACACTGCCTTTAAGACTCGCCTATGCTAGGCGTATGTTGCGAAACAATGTTTTTTCTTGCACTCTTCAATAGACGAGCCTCCGACGAACACTTCAAAATGACTCTGGGACAATAATTCGCTCAGCTTGGTCAAGTAGAACAACGCAAAAATAGTACGTGGAAATCTCGTTACACAACGATTTCATTCACGAAGCACAGCAAAACATGGAAGAACGAAAAACAGCGTTTCGCAAAGAAATTGCTCCCAGCACTGAATATCGTCAAGGCGAAGGCTAAGCCGGAAAAAAGCATCGTATTGCAAAGACATTCAATTCATTGACTAACAGATTAGAAAATGCACGCCTTGCACACTGTCTAAACTAACCTAGATTAGAAGACAGATCGCAATTATAAACTTGTTAACCACACAATGAAGCTTGGTCTGACAATGTGTGCGGTTTCTAGTCTCTTAATCACAAAATAGATAATAGCTCAGTCTAGGTAATGACATAACTTCAAAACTTCCAAACGAAATTGGAAATGAAATTGAAAAGTAGGTGAAAAAACTCCTTTCAGCACTATTCACTCAGTTCGGAATTAACATAGCTCCTAGCAAGAGACAGATGGAAACAAACTACTTTTGACGATTAGCATTAGCACCGTAGAATAGCGATGAAAAGGAAACCACATCAAGTAAACCATATGTGAAACGCGATTGTTTACTGCAACATAGAAAAGAACCTCCAAAAGAATAGCGGTAATGGGATCAACAAACCATGCAATCATTACATCAGTGCGACCTCCCTACGCGTCCCACATACAAAATCTGACTGAGTGCGCTTCAGGTGCAAAAGCGGCAATCGGCCCGAAAGCGGCTAATGGCTGCAAAAGCGGCAACCAACGCAATCTGGAGGCTGCCTAATAAAGCCGCGTTCCGAAAGATACTGCGCCTTCGTCATGCAGCAGCGTATACGTCAGTAGCAAAGGCCTAAGCATAGTGGTCGCAATTCGCTTGCATGTCCGCGTGTCGGCCACTGCGGTTGTCGTATTTATTCGGTGCTACAGATGCAGCCCGTTTTTGGATAGGGTATAGTTCTCCAGCGATGATGGCGGTGATTTGTGCAGAACTAGCGATGTTGCGTGCGTGCGCTGCACCAGCGACTAGGTGTTATCGGTGAGGTGCGGAAAAGATCTGAGGCTTTCTTGTAAACACGCTTTGATGTTTTAACTTGTTTTCCTAAAAAAGGAAATCTTCCTTGAAATAGTTGTGCAGAGTTCTAATACGCCATGGGTGTCCTTCTTCCAGATCTAAATTAGTTTATTATTCTCGATGTTTTTTTCCGATTCTTCAAAGTAAATACCTCTATTCCGCTTAATTAGGTAGTCTCACATTTTGGTCTCCACATAAATGCAGGAAATTTTTGTTTATACTAACGCATTCTTTGTGTTTTTCGTTATTTTTGCAGTGCTTTACCTAAATTTTCCTTAAGTAAGGCATTACAATAGCCCACGCCAGCTTTCTGAAATTTGATTCTTTACGATTGTTCGCTTTGCCAAAACTTGATGAAGAGTGTTTTGAATGTGGCTGCTAACTTTTGAAGGCCAACACTGACAGGCGAGAATCGGCAGTAAAGTGGAGAGCTTGTGAAAAATTTACTTGCTGAAAGGCTGGGCGGATTGTGGAAAACTTTTTATTTTAAGTTTCATCAATCGGCATGAGATTGGCTAGATGGAAAGAGTGAAGTACTTTACGACAACAAATTATGTATACCAATTTAAGTGCATCCAGTTACACTGTGTGCAACGACATGGAATCGCGTGTACTGTGCCCATGTACTCAAATGAGCAGTTCCGTCGTCTCGTTCTCAAAGCCGAACCATCGAAATTCCCGCGCGGGCATGTGCAACGAATATGCAGCCCTATTTATAGCAGATGTGCGTCTTGTGACAGATGTCCGCGGAGTGCCTCTCCTTTCGGCCATATATAGTCCTCTACTCATGATTAATTTCAAGATAATTTTTGGTGCTGAAATATGCTCCAACCTTTGGTGAGTGGTCCACTATTACATCTATGAAGGCTAAAATCACCTCCACCACTGACCGCATACTGTTGCGATAGCGTAAATGCGCGCCGCTCTTCTGCATCTTCAATCTCGCCTCACCTTCTCAGTATCATGGTCCACGAGCAGCGCCATAGTTTAGCGCCGATTTCATGTAGTGAGAACACTTGGGCCAGGAGCACGAATATGCTAATGCCTTTCTTGACATCTGCTGATTTGTCGGTCCACTAATTCTTTTCCGAGTTTGAACGGCATTATGCTGGGCAGGGAATGCAGCTTACACTAGAGGCAACTGTGCTCTCAATTTACGTCTTGGCGACGATCGGCACCAGCATAGATACCGTTTCTTATTGGCTAAAGTTTTCGGCGCTGACGCCGTTTTCACAACCTAGGACCACGGCCGTGTACAGATCGGATGGAGACAGGACTGCGTTTTTGTTACGAAAAGCAAAGGGGTATTGTGAGTCTAAAGGGCGGGGCTTCACCCAAACTCATTGCAAATCTGCTCTGTAGCGTAACTACATAATGCAGAGTAGCCGACCTTAACTTGTTCAGCTGAATCATTTTGATTACTTATCTTCTACAAAACACAAATGATGTTACCTCCTCCAACAGCTTTGCTTTTGTAGCAGCTGTGCTCACTACCGCTTTTTTTCCTTTCGAGATCATCCCTAATCTCCGCTTTGGTAAACGACATCTTGGGGATCTTCTCCAGCTGCCGCGTGTGATGCGCATTGTCCATAATAAGGCAAACACGCCAACCAACCTACACGTTCTTTCATGTGCGTCAAGCCGTCCCGCACCCAACACCCGAAGAACGTGTGGTTCATTGCCCTATGGTGGTCTCCGTCATCTGCCAGCCTGCCCTCGAACATCCTCGTGCATTCGCTGGTCACACCGTCTTCAGCCAGCGCTCCAATCACTATAGCTCTTTCTCCCTTCTTAACTGCTGTTCTGCCACCATAGGAGTATTTGGTGAAGGCGGATTGGAGGGCGAACTCTGGGATGGTTTGTCGTTCCATCCCTTCTTTTTAGTCATGCCGCTATACACCCATGTTTCTTCCATGTACCCCAATACTCCTCTTTCTCTCTTGTCAGGCGATAGCTATCAAATAGCGCTCGCTTTGTACGGCCTTGTGCCTTTGGTTTTTGTTATAAGAGAAGCCCGACCCTCTGATAGCTGTACACGGTAGTTGAACAGGGTGAAGTTTTCGTGGTTTGAGGACAATTCTTAAAAAGGTCCCTCGTGGTAACGTCCTCTTCGTCTCGCAGCTTTTGATGTATTGTCTGCTTAACGATTTCAACCCCAAAGACAGAGCAATGTACGCCTGACAAAAACATAAGTGAAGTCAAAAAAGCTGTTTTGGAGAAAGTACCAATTCACCTTCGTTTTCTTTGATGATACAGCATACCTACAACCAAATAATGAAGAAGTATGACAGTAATGTCGGCTCCGACTTACCTTCTTATAGATTGGCGACACGGCATAATTGCCTGATTACAAGCAAAGATTGAGTCAAACAGTTACTAATGTACCAAATACATACCTTCATTCTCGATTTCATCAACAGCACTTATGAGCTGAGTTTGTACTCTGCTGAGTATGCAGCGATTAGAATTGTCCTATCAATATGCGAGTTTCGCAACATCTAGAACACAAAGTCTCATAGATCAAAGACTCAAACATAGCAAAGGTTTCTTTCAGCACACGTTGAGTTTTGCGGGAGCAAGCGTTGAAGTAAAGTACGAGTAGAGCAGCACCAGAATGAATGAACACAGGTTTCGTGCCACTGGAGACAAGATCGGTAGCCGATTCCGTCGCAGTCCACCAATCGAAGTAGAAATCGCATACACACGTAAAGCCCAAGACGCACCATATCATGAAAAGCAAACCCTAAGCGAAGAAAAGAAAATAAGAGAGAAACGCGAAAACGAATTTGCTTGTGACGGGCCGGCAGCGTCGTATCGATTGGAGAACCTGCAATATGCCCTGACGATGCAGCGCAGCCGCGATGCAGGTCCAGCGAGGCAGCAGTGGTCGGAGGGCGGTGCCCCGCAGCCCCGTCTTCAGCCGTCGATCTGGGAATCAGAGGGTAAGTAAGCATACAAACATGTGAGCGCACATTAAGTCGAACACAAGCTTTAGGGCAGGTCACACGGTTAACATGCTCCATAGTGTTTTGCGAAAAGCGCGCGCGAACTGAAAGTAAGAATAAAGCAAACAAATCGCTTGTTTACAGCGAAAACAAGTATTTGACACCAAGATTGGACCGTATACTTAGAAAATTATTTGCGAAAAAAACTATGTAAAAAGTTCTGGAAACTTATGTGATACCTTTTCCAAGATTAGTCCGTTTCCAGACGGTCAATTTACGAAGTGAGATTGTATGGAACATAACTACATTTCTCTTATTTACATAAGCTTCGGATTTTTCTGTCATGGACGGATTCCGCGGCCGAGAATCTATCCCTGAGCATGAGGACAATTTTATATCGCCACCCGTTCGCCGTTTTTTGCCCCTTTTTTCAGAAATCACGTTGTTAGATATTGTGCTCCAGCGTCACATTTGCCGCGTACGCTCCTTCTGAACTTTTGATTTGGTCTAACTTCCATTGTCGCCGTATCTTGCTGACCTTGACTTGGCATGTTGTTGAATAAAAAACATCTTAGAGGAAGTGACTCGGCAAATTCTCTATCTGGAAAATTCTCGCTCACGTGAGTGTGCGATGCACTGGATGTCAGAGGATACGGTGGGGGTACAATAAGGGCCAAAAAGGACTTTGTAATATTCCAAAGAGTCATAGAGGACTTCGTTTCTAACAACTCTAGTAAGCGACTCATGCCAGGCCCTGTCTGTATGTTTCTAACAACTCTATTAAGCGACACATGCCGAGCCCTGTCTGTAACCAAAAAATATATGTGTGAAGTACCTGCTGGGTGCCTCCGTCACCGTAACGATTTGAACTGTTGACCATCAGACCAGCAAAGCTAGACCATCTCACCTTGTTCGACGTCAGTCAAGTGATCCGACGCTCGTGGTCAAGTTGTGCAGAATGCAATGGTACGTCTTCGCCTTTCGTATTGTTCATAATTTGACAATCAAAGCGCAGATGCTTTGATACTGTGGTAAATCTCTGAATAGGGTAGTTCATTCTTTTTTTGTTCGTTTTGGGGTTACGCGATGTAATCCAAAATGCTCAAAATGTTTTGCGGGTGATATCTTGCTCGTAGGACAAGATTGTGACAGCAATATTAAAGGACTTACTATCGTGCGAACTCTGCTATGTGCTCTGCTTAGGGATTGGATGATTTGCGTTCGCGAGTCCATCCAAGTACCCTTTGATCAGCAGACATAACGGTCGTCCAGTTTCACATACATAATGTTCACCGCATAGTGGGTAAGTTAAGGAAATAGACAACTCCTCATTCTAAGCAATTATCTGGTCTTCCGAAGAGACATATTACGCATTTGATATTGAGCAAATCTTATATATAAAACTGAATGTCTGTTTGTTGTCTGTATGTATTAGGTTGTAACAAAATTAATGCAGGTTTTAAATTCCAACCGCAACAAGTCGTCCACTTGTCATTTCTAAGTAGGTTGCGAAACACCACTCGATAGAGCAAAGCAATCTCTACAAGGTGGCAGTCTTGCTTTAGCAACAGCTTTGATCCACCTCGAGTTTCGAGCCAGAAACTAAAATGATTTAACTACCCGAAAAATCGAGAAAAATCATAACTCAATTCATAAGAGACCTAGAAAAATTCTAGCTTGCTCACGTAAACACTATTCACATAAGACATCTATATACGCCTTTGCCGTATTTTTTTCTCTGTTAAAAATCAAGTAAACGGAAATTTTCGTGCATTTGCCACAGTGTTGCTGTGCCGTTCCCACATAAGTAGTTGTATTCTACATATCTGTAGAAGTACAGACGTGAATTTTCAGCTCTCTACAAGCTTTAGTTCTCGAGAAATTTGAATTTTAGCTTGGACCATTTCACTAGAGAAAGCTGTATTCGATATAACTCGAGAACTAAAGCTTGTAGAGAGCTGAAAATTTGCGTTAGCACTTCTATAGGTCTGTAGTATACAACTACCTATGTGGAAAAGGCACAGCATCACTGCAAATGCACGAAAATTTCCGTTTTCTTGATTTCTAACAGAGAAAAAAATACGGCAAAGGCGTATATAGATGTCTTATGTGAATAGTGTTTACTTGAGCAAGCTAGAATTTTTCTAGGTCTCTTATGAATTGAGTTATGATTTTTCTCGATTTTTCGGGTAGTTGAATCATTTTAGTTTTTGGCTCGAAACTCGAGGTGGATCAAAGCTGTTGCTAAAGCAAGATTGCCACCTTGTAGAGATTGCTTTGCTCTATCGAATGGTGTTTTGCAACCTTACTTAGAAATGACAAGTGTATGACTTATTGCGGTTGGAATTTAAAACCTGCATTAATTCTGTTACAACCTAATACATATGTGCGAAATAAGAATTTTTTATTCTGGAACTAATCCGGACCAAACTTTGCGCGCGTATAGTGTCGCAGGCTACTTTTCATTATCGATCGATATCGATTTTATCTATTTTTATCTTTTCTTGCCATAGTTTGGAAGTTGGACACGATAGGGTAAGTTAGCATGCTGATTACAAAAATAATAATGGGTAAAGGAATCTAGCGAGTACTGGGGCAAGGTCAGGGATAATGTATTGACACGACCGGGCGGGGCCGAGTATGCCAGCTAGTACTCTCACATGCGCGATTGCGAATTAGCTGCGCCTTCAGATTGGAGGAGGAATATCTACAATTCTTACATAACCTTGCAAGTCTGCTTGATATAAACTCCCCCTAACAGTTTTGCTAAAGAGTCCGTTAAGAAAGGTATGCAGAAGGAAACGTTTCGAGTATTATTCTTCTGCGAAGTGCATCTAATCGAAAAATCAGCGTTGGTTCCACTTATTTGCAATGATCTGTTGGATAGTGCAATATCTCCGGTCAGCAATAAGAATGCCATACGTTCTTTAGCGTCAGAAGAGATTTTTATGCTTTTTTGAACATATTACTCAAAATAGACCCCTTCATGTCGTGGATGTGCTAAACAGCAGTGAAGTAACGTGAGATAATTCAATTTATAGGCTTTCAACATCAATTGGTTTTCCAAATTCCGTTACGTAAATACACCTTAACATTCAGGAAAGCCAACCAGTTTTAGCTAGGCTTTTAGCGGGTGTACTTTATACTTCGCGACTGCGCATCAAGAATGTCGAGACAATTATCGATTTTTTTGGGTGGGGCATTCTAGCAATTGTCAATGTACCTGCAGTACAAGAGAGTCTACGCCTAGCACCGAATTTTCTATTTTTGACATAAAAACTATCGTCATGCGTGCCAACTTTGTCTCATGGATGAACTGTCTCATGGCTAGTTGGAACAAAGTATTGGCCCTGCTGACGGAATATGGAGCAATTCAAGCATCCAATCAGCAACGTCAACATTTGCTTTATGTTGAAGCCATACATATCAGACGAGCGGTGATATTCGCATGTTGTGTACTGCTTGCATAGCGTCCGTATTGGAAACGTTGGTGAGTGAGGTAAATTTGAAAGACTCCATACTACATTCACCTTCTGGTATTGCGTTACGCAGCCGTTTGTGAAACATCTTGCCATTTGAGAGATGCGCAGGAATGTACTTGAGAAGCTGGGTTAATATCATATTCAGCAAAAACAAAACTTTGTCATTCGTCCTCCTGTGCAGCTCATAATGGTCTAACCGGGTAATACAGCGGTTTACTGGAGGAGAGAGATGGAGGAATCTGCGTGACAAGGACATATAGTACAGGGCAGATGGGATGACCATTCTTTAGTCGCGAGAGTAAGCTTAGAATAATCCGTCTTTCGCAGCGTTGACCCATATCCCATCAAAGTGTTCGATAAGTTTCTTAATTTCCCACTTGCAAATTTTCAGATTTCAAAGTTGTTCGTGCTAAAATTGTCAACAGAGCAGTAGACATATGCTCTTGTGCTCTTCTGCAGTCTTTCGAGCAGTAGCGCTCAGTGCACGCCATCTTATGAAGAATTGCATTGTATGGCTCCTAATAGACCTTTTCTTATTTCTTGGTCTTCATTCGCTAGCCACAAACAGTGGTTATTGTTGATTTCATAACCCATGTAATAAGAAAAAAAGCTGATTTGTTATCCGCTGCCATGTAAACGTACCACTTATTCTTTGCTGTCGGAAATGACATCTAGGCAAACAAATCCGTGTGTTGCTTTTGGTCTTTTGTTTCTGTTAGAAACTAGACTGCGGTTCGAACTGTGTTAAAGGCACCGTCCACTCTAAGTTGAGGGTGTTGAGCTTTATGATTTATGATTTATGATTTATTTGCCTTTCATATTATTACAATATGCGGCACCCAAACAAACTGATTCCTTTTTTTCTAACGTGAGTGATACTCTTTGCCATTTGCAGGTGCCAAGCTTCTTCTGGAATTCGTCTCTCCATCTCGTTAGGGCCAGTATATCGAGTTGTGCTCTCTTCAGGGCTTCTTGCAGTTCGTCGGACTTTGTTTGACAGGCGTCTCACGTTGAATATTCTGATATATATACAGTCGTTGTTGGGGTGGAACATACTTGATCCTGCTGTTCCGAGGCTTCCTGGATCAAGAGGGTCCGGTAGGGTGGGAAAGAGCCGTCAAAATGACCGACCAGTCGAGGGACGTGTAGTGAACTTGAACTGTTGAGATTTTGGTGCATATAATAGTAGGGCCCCTATCAATCCAATGCCCAAGTCGAGGCGCAAAGTGCCGCTTCGGAAGCGAGAAAATAGCTTCGGAATAGCGAAGATGCACGAGGACCCCCATTCATGCCCGCCCACTTGTGCGCGCCCATCCAATCACCGTTCCGGAAAGCCGGCCTGTGGATTCTCCGGAACGGGGATTGTCGGGGTTTTCGAGCATCCTCGACTTCATATTCGGAATCAGGGACATGAGAAGGCTCTGAAACGACAAAAACGTGGAAGTCGAAAATTTGGGTAGACGGTGCCTTTCCTCGTGATTTTCTAGACGAATCGTTAATAGGTAGAAGAATTTTTGAAACTTTTCGAACCGACGCTCGTATAACGTATCAGACACAAAAACAATATTCTTGTTTCAATCCATCCTTTTCGTCTTTGTGTTGCATTATATCATTTTGATTTTTGCCATTGCTTTTTTATTTTTCATTGTCATTGTTTCGCATTCGTAGTTCGGAGTTGCTTCTGCTTACCATAGATACTAGCGTATTTTATAGACAGCTAGAAAAATAGATAGATATATAGTTGAATAGATAAATAAATAAACAAATAATATCAGAATTAATACTATTAAATACTAGGTGAATAGATATATCATACCCAATTTAAAACTCCTTGAAAGTCTTCTGCTAACATATCTTTTTTTTATGCTGAAGACATTGAAAAACGTTTTTCTACATTTGTTTTCTTAACGTCTGTAGTCATTAACATTTCATGATTCTAGGATTCCCTAAAACTCTTAGTTCTTTCTTTTCTTTCTGAATCTTAATTTTATGGTTTACTTTCGTGGTTCTGTCACACACATTTTTTTTGTATTTTCTGCATATATTGATAGATAAATAAATAACAATTATAGGTAACCAAGCCAAACAATTCGGTCAATATAGTATTCTCACAATCACAGGGTGTTTATCATCCTGGTTGCAGTGTTAGGAACAGCTCAGCTGAAACTCGAAGAGCCGATGAAGGTAAATCGATTCAGCCAATGCCGCTTTCGAGAATCAGTAGTTGTAGAAAGGCCTGTTCCAGTAACCTAATAACCAAAGGGAAAGCTGCCTTAAAAATCAAGTCAGGAATTCTGGAAAAATCATCAACAACAAGCATTAATGGCAACACTTTCACTAGATGGAAGCCTGTTAGTACAGTAAGGTAAGTTGCATTTGGTCTGACCTAAGCGCTCTTTTGTATTAGGTTGTGTAATGAGTTCTGTTCCATTTTTTCTTCCTCAAAATTTACGGTGCTTTGCAAAATGTGGGTATGCATTTGAAAACTCTAACCCTGCTCTACAATTTTGCTTTATTTTCCTACATTAGAAGATTTGGAAAAGTTTTCCAGTAATTCGGAAAACCAAAGAGGAAAAATCTATTTTTGACAACTACATTACGACAGCCACCTCTAAATAAGTCAGAATGCGTAAGAAACAACTCGAAAAATCTGCTATGTATAGGAAAAGGATACTGTAGCTTTCACAGCGCTTTAGGGGTACTAAAACGAAATCAGTTTTGTAGACTTCAGA